CATCCGGGCTTGTTTTGTTTTTAACTTTTTACTTTCTTTTTTTCCTTCCTCCCTTATTTTCTTCCTTTGTCTCTCTTTCGTGTGTGTGCTACAGATCAAATTTCGGGCCTTTTATATCCTAAACATGGACTACCATTGGTTTGTACCCACAGCTTTTCACTTTGTTTGTTGTTGCTGTTGTTTCTTAGGACATGGTCTCTGTGTAGTCCCTGCTGGCTTAGAACCTTAGAGAACAAGCTGGCCTCAAACTCACCATCGTCCTGCCTCAGCCTCCTGAGTACTGTGATGATGGGCATGTACCACCACACTTGGCTTCCTTTACTTGATAATATCCTTTAAAAATATTTATTTTTATTATGTTTATGGGTGTTTTGCCTGCATATATGTCTGTGACCATGTATGTACAGTGCCTATGGAGGCCAAAAGACGGGTCAGATCCCCTGGCACTGGAGTTATGAACAGTTGTTAGCTATGTGGGTGCTGGGAATTGAACTCTTGTCCTCTATAAGAGCAGCAAGTTTTCTTGACCACTGAGCCCTTGGTAATATTCTTTGAAACATACATATTTTAGATTTTGACAAAGTTTATTTTTTTGTATATTTTGGTCACTTGTATTTTTCATGCCATATCTGAGAACCCATTGACTAATGAGTATCACAAAAAGTTTATATTTTCTCTTAAATGTTTTGTTTTTACATTTAGGACTTTGATCCATTTCAAGTTCATCTTTGTATATGGTAAAAAATATAAAGTCCAGTTCGATTCTTTCATTATTTGGATTTTAATGACAAGGGAAAAAGCATTTCCTTCCCCAGCCAACCCAGAACTGGGGAATTCCAGGGGTGAGGCAGCCTTTGTTTCCTCCTCCACTGGATAGCTGTGCTCCTCACTTCCTGGACTCACAGTGATAGACCCTGTCCCAGAATGTTTAGAGAAGTTCCAGACTCAGCAGAATGCAATCCCATGGATAATCATATCCAAGATCATCCTGAAACAGGCCACATCACAGTGGGCTTGGAAATAGACAGAGCCCAGTTTGTCTCCCAGGCCTGCTTGTTTCAACCAGTTCATTCCAATTCAGTTATTTAACTTTTCTGTGCCTTATTCTGTTTTGTGATCTGGAAGGGGGCTGTTTGGAGCCTTCCTGAGCTTTTACAGTGACTATCTGAGGCTTAGAAAAGGGGTGGGTCAGGGCTCACCACATGTCACCATGCTGGGCTGCTCTGGTAAGAAAGATAACTGAGTTCCCTTCAAAGGTGAGGTATATATCATTTCCTTATTTTAAAGCCACTTGACTGTAACCAGAAAACAATTTTTTAAATTTGAAATGAAATTGTCAACTATCTTAGTGTTGGCTTTAGATCCATTTTATTTTTATAATTAATTTGTTTTAGTTGCAAAGGGCTGAGGTTGTGAATGATAACAAACCTGTTTGGTGTGTTTGTTTTTCAACTTAGAGTCTTGAAGCTATTTAAAATTTATATGTGAATCCTTCAGTGGGGAATTTTGCTTAAAGTTGAATCGCATATAATATGCCTGACTCCTGGTAGACAAAATGCAAGGCCCCTCTAACTATAACACGTGTGTCCAGATCACACCTGGGTGATGGCCTCAGTGCCATGTAATTCCTGCCCAGTGAATGTCCACTGACAGGCACACTGCTTTAGCATGAGCCAAGCAGAGGTGGCAGGGACTAGCAAGGGGTTTCTGATTGAGCATCAGATCTGTATTTGGGGGTACACTTACAGCTGGGCTCTCTGAGTAGGCAGCTATAAAGATATAAATAGCCTAAGTAGTCCACATGGTGTTGAGGTACAGCCCAAAGAGGCCTAACTGAAGTAGAGGCCTGACTCTGTGCCCTTTGCCTTCAGGTGCAGCTTGGCCAGAGGAAACTAGTGCTTTAGGTTTGCAGACTAAGAAATTTCTAGATCCCTCTGGTTCAGACTCTCTCCTGAGGTGAAGGTCAGCCTGAGGAAGCCAAGTAGGAAGGCCAACAGTGTGTTCTTCCTGTGAGCAGAGTGGAAAGAAATACTTAGAGTTTGCTTTTGAGATTCCTCAGAAGTTAAAGCTCTTGCCTCTTGGTAGCAGCATTCTCTGGGTCTTCTGGGAAGCCCAGCTCTGACCCTTAGCAGGGCTGTCGTCCAGCGTGACTCTTTCTCTTCTGTCCAGATCAACACCAGTTGCCCAAAGAAATGTTCCATAGGAGGTATATTTCTGCTGGCAGTGGTGACAGGGCAGGAAGCCCTTTTTTTCAAGAGCCTTCTAGCAGGCTCCTTGTGTCTGTACAGTGCCTGAGAGGCCTGTGGAGTTGAGGTTAAGTGTAGACGGGCAGCCTCTGGTACCTTAGCACTAGGAGGTCTGGCTACAGGAGGATAGGAAAGAAGGCCATGCTTCTCAGAAGTGCGTGGGAGACTTGCTTGTAGGCCATTCCAAGCTTTTCCTTGACTTCGGATCCTCACAGCTGCCAGGGGAAACTCATGGGCTTTAGGAGGTTGTAAGAGACTGAAGTTGCGCTTCAGAGACCCAGTAGCCTCTACTGACTGGAACCCTGTTGCTCTGTTAGCCTCTTACATTTTGACCTGTGTGCTGAGCTCTCTAATGCTGAAGTGCAGTGGCTTATCTTCCCTAAAGGAGCAATTCTTACATATAAACTGAATTTCAAGCAAACTGTATAAGCACAGCTTTTAAAGATCAAGAGGTCAAGAGAAAACTGGGATAATATTCTTACATTCTTAGAGTAAACGAAGAGATCTCATAGTCACAAAGGAAAAGAATTAAAAGTTAAATATAAAAATAAAAAACCTCACTATGTTAAGAAAACCACCTTGAACAAAGGACAAACGTGCATGCAGGCTAGAAGAAACGATTACTGCATATTCCCAGCTGTTAAGATTGCTATCGTGAGCTGGGTGAAGGGCTCATAGCTCCCACCTACTTGGGAGGCTGAGGCAGAAGGATTATGAAATTGAAGCCACCCAGTTAAAATAAAATAAAAGGTTGTCTGCTGTGATTGAGGGATAGAAACCCCAGATTCAGTTCCCAGTATTTGAGGCGGATAGCTGTGATGTATAAAACATTATAAGGAAGAGACAAACAACTCATGAGGTCACAGGAAAAGGACACCCTGTCCTCTGCCACCTGGTGCTTTCTAAGTCCCATAAATGCATAAGAGATTGTGTGTCCTGTGAGTTGCAAGGGGTTACGTGCTGCCTCCATCTGGGCTTGCTTACACAAAGACCTGTGGACTGCTGTCAGTCAGTTTAATTTCTTACCTGTGGGAGGTGGGGCTAAAGGTTTTGGCGAGTGTCTCCAAACCTTATGATTGTTTTGTTACTTTTTTTTTATTTAGATTTTTAGTATTTTATGTGTCTGAGTATTTTGCTAACGTGTATGTATGTGTGCCATGCCTGTGACTGGTGCCTGAGGAGGTTAAATTCCCTGGAACTGGAGTTACCAATGGTTGTGAGCCATGTGAATCTAAACCTAAGTCCCCTGGAAGAGTAGCAAGTGTTCTTAACCACTGAGCCATCTCTTTCCCCACAATTGTTTTGAGTGCAGAAGCAATTGACTATGTTCTGAGAGGACCAAGGTCAAGTGCTCGAGTGTAGCCCTGCTGGTTTATAGTCATAAAGCTGGAGCATCAACACCTTCCTCCTGTGTTTGCTTGTTTGTGTAATGGCATCTATAGGGTGGCAGGAGAAGTCAGTGAGCCAGTACCTACCTAGTTCTTAGACACTGTCTGCTGTGACTTAAAGCCAGCGTGGTAGCTGTTAATGTGAGGGAGGACTGGTTCTTGCTGTGCGCTTTGTGGCTTTGTGTGGCATTTGGAACACCCTTGCTGTATCTTTCTAGTGACTCTGGGCCTTTGTTGTGCTGCTGTGAATCTGGGAGGCTTGAGCTCAGGAAAAAGACATTCTTCCTTCCTTCCTTCCTTTTTTTTTTTTTTTTTGTTGTTGTTGTTGTTGTTTTTTGTTTTTCGAGATAGGGTTTCTCTGTAACAGCCCTGGCTGCCCTGGAACTTGCTTTGCAGACCAGGTTAGCCTCAAACTCACAGAGATCCATCTGCTCCTGCCTCCCGGGTGCTAGGATTAAAGGCATTTGCTGCCATAACCGCTTAGTTTCCACTCTTTGAAGAAACATTTGACCTGAGAGAAGGTGGAAATAATCATTCCTAGGGAAAGTTGGTACTGCAAAGTCATGTATTCTATTAGTCAGGGCCTCTTTTTTTCCCAAAAGAATCAGGATTTCTTCCCTGCCACACCCTCTCCTGGGAGCTCCAAACTTAGTGAGGAAGCTGCTGACTCCCCCAGCCAACTCTTGGCATAAGTCAGGCTTTGTTGGCTCCTGGGCTGCAGCCCACTCAGCCAATGCCTGTGCAGACTTGCAGTTGTTTTTAAGGAAATGCTCAGCTCTCCATATATCTGAAAACAGTTCCCTTTCTAAACTTCTTTTTTTAAAAAAGATTTATTTTTGGTGTACAGTGTTCAGCCTACATGTACACCTGCACGCCAGAAGAGGGCGCCAGATCTCACTGAGGATGGGTGTGTGCCACCATGTACTTGCTGGGAATTGAACTCAGGACTTCTGGAAGAGCAGCCAGTGCTCTTAACCTCTGAGCCATTTCTCTAGCCTCCCCCCTTCTAAACTTCTTCCTTTATTTCCTCCCTCCTTTAGTTGTTCTCTATCTAGAAGCTATGTCCTACTTGTTGCCTGCAGGCTTTGTGTGGTCTAAGATAGCTATGAATGCAACCCAACACAAAACAGTAAACTTACTTAAAGCATTATGAGATGCTTCTTGTGATTGTATTGTTGTTACTTGATTGTGCAGTGCTCAAGTATGAATTTTGCTGGTGACAGTGTCTTAATTGCAGTGTCAAAAGATTGGACACTCCTGAGATCTAGAGCTGACCCTGCAGGAGCGAAGTGAGTGGATAGCAGGGACTGTGCAATTCCAGCGATGGGCAGATGGACCTCTAACTGCAGGGTTTGTGTCTCCACAGGAAATAAATGGCATCACTGCAGCACTGGCTGAAGAGCTCTTTGAAAAAGGTACATAGCCATTGGCTCTTGAAATGCTGGGGGCATTGCCTAGTGCCCACGGTGGCACTGAGTTTATATTAGATCCTACCCACCTCCTTGAGGGTGTCAAGTCCTTGGCCCTGGTCCCCAGTCTACCCACTACTTGCCCTGTAGGTGAGGATCCTTCGTGTTTAAGATTCTCTATTATAATTTATTATTGCGGGGTATGTGTATGTGGGCACATGTGTCACAGCACACATGTGGAGATAGAGGACAACTTGGTAGAGTCAGTTCTCTCCTTCCGCCTTTATGTAGGTTCTGGGGATCAAACTCAGGTAGCCAGGCTTGTGTAAGGTGAGTGCCTGGGACTCACCTACGTCTCAGGATCTATTCCCAAGTCACACGGGGTGTTGGAAGGTGGCTGGCATGCTGCCATCTTGCACCTGGTTTGTCCTTGCTTGAAAGTGTTCAGATCGCAAGTAGAAGCCAATCTTGGGTCATGTTCATATTAACAATTAACAGTAGTAGAATGAGCACGCCCCGCCAGCAGGCTTACATTTAGCATCTTACTGCTTTCCCTGGGGTAAAGGTAAGGGTACTAGTGGTCAGAGGTACGGAAACCTGCTAGAAGGAGCAATTTAAGGCCTAAACACTGGCATCTTAGGTCTATAACTGACCTTAGTCTCTGTATATTAGAGGGTGCGGGGTAGTTGTGACACCTAGAGTACTGCTTCTCCCAGCCTCCTCTTGGCTCGGTGCCTTAGCTCTCCACTCCACCTCACCCTTAAGGAGGGCTCCCCAGTTGCACAGCCCTTCCCTTCTCTCTGATCATGTCCAGGATTGCCCTGTGCCCGGTATGAGCTCAGAAGGGCCACTCCTATGTACCTAAGACTGTAGCTTCGTATGGTGGGTGGGGTGGATGCTTGTCATAGGTGCTTGCTGCATGCTTGTTGACTGTTGGTGCTTATCTCCCCTGGCTGTCCAATAGGCTGGGACTGGACTGGGGCTGGACACTCACTCTTGAACTTGACTGTTACAGGAGAACAGCTTCTAGGAGCCGGTGAGGTCTTTGCCATCAGGCCCTTGCAGCTCTATGCTGTCACGGAGCAGCTACAGCAAGGAAAGCCTACTTGTGCCAGCGGTGATGCCAAGACTGACCTTGGGCACATCCTAGACTTCACCTGTCGCCTTAGGTACCTTAAGGTACAGTTACAGCAGCGTAGCTGTAGAGCGTCTCTCAGTTGTCTGACAGCTCACCAGCTGGCAGTGTGTGAAGGAGACCAAGACTGGGCTCTCAGTGGATGAAAGCCTCCTGGTGTTGTTGATACTGTGTTTCTGCCTGTGAGCGCCAGGGGGCATCGTGGCCCATTGTCTGAATACAGTTGAAGTGGTCCGAGCTTTGAGTTTGACAGCTGTGGCCACATTCACCCAAGAGCGCAGAACGGGAGTTCACTACAGCACCCCTAATTTAAATCCATCTTTGACCTCAGGTTTCTGGCACAGAAGGACCTTTTGGGACCAGCAACATTCAAGAGCAGCTCCTGCCCTTTGATCTTTCTATATTCAAGTCTCTTCATCAGGTAGAGGTAAGGCCCAAGGCTGCTAGTGAGCAGACAGGGCTGAGCCTGCCCAGCAGTGTCTTGCTCTGTTGTCTCTTTGTAGGGAATGGTTGTGATAGCAAGTGGTAAGGCACTGTTGCTTTCATATTTGGCAACATGTTGGCAGATTCTGTCCTTAGCTGGTTTGCAGTTCTCCACCCCTATTGTAGGCAGCAAAGGTATTAGAGACCAGAGCCGCAGAAATTAGTTCTCTGCGGCCTCTCATGGAGTCAGGACCATGTGTTCCTCAGGTCGAAGTCACAGAAATCATCCTAAGGCCAGTCAGAGGCAATTCCAACTCTTTGTTTTCCCAGTCAAGGGCACCCATCACTAAGAAGAATGCTTTATATCACTTTCTACTGAATTCTGGTTCCTAACACTAATTTTGTTGTCATTTTTAAAAAGAAAGGGAGTCAGTAATGAACAATAAAAGCTGTTTTTTATCAAATAAAACCACATGTTTCCTGAACTTGGTTTTTGTCTTCAGCTCTACCCAGTGCCCATGTATTCTTGACCAAGTTTCTCCAACTTCTCTGTGAAGTATGGATACTTTTGTTCTCAATTTTACATTTGAGGAAACTGAGGCTTGGGGAAATGAGGAAGTTAGGCCAGGATATTGAATTTGAATTCCAGAAGCCTGCTTCCATTGACCTGTATTGCCTGAGGACAGAGGGTCAGGCTGGGTAAGCAGGAGAGATGCTCCATGTGCTGTGTCTGCATGCCCCAGTTCTCCATCATGATTCCCAGATCCTACCTTTTCTGTTTCCTTGGCAAGCTCCCGGTAGCCCTTAACCACAAAAATGGAATTTGTGGCTCATAAGGAACCTGAGCGTCCATTTTTGAGGCAAGATCAGACTGGCCTCGAACTCACAGAGATCTGCCTGCCTCTGCCTCCTGAGTGGGGTCTAAAGGTGTACGCCAGCATGCCTGGCTAGATGCCTTTCTTACTAGATACTTAAAATGTTTATCTGCAACTGAGACTCACTGGGGAATAAAAGGGGCCAAGTTTTGAGTCATCTTTTATCTAGGGATTTGAGCTTGCATGTGGGATGAACATCTAGTTCCTGGGGTTCCTGGGGGGCCAGGATGCCATTTCTGAGACACAGCTGTTGTTTGTTCCAGATAAGTCATTGTGATGCTAAGCACATCCGAGGGCTGGTCACCTCCAAGCCAACATTAGCCACAATGAGTGTCAGATTCTCAGCAACCTCAATGAAGGTGAGCTCTGCCTTTGTGTTTATGCTGGGGCCTGGCCTGGGGGACATAGCCTTTGTTAGTGAAGCCGACTGAACTTTCTCTGAGCCCAGCAAGCACTGGCTTAGCCCTCATTTGTATCTCATCCTCCCTGGACTTGCAGAGGAAGGTGAGGTGTAGAAGGGCTGGACCCTGTTTGGACTGAGTAACAGAAATAGCCCAGCTGTTAAGGTAGGGAGTTTCTTTTACCATTATATGGATGCCATCATAATAATATTTAAGTCCTCCTTCAGTATAGGGAGAGACTCATTTTGTGACTTCTGATCAGGATTTGGGTTTGTTGAAAATTCTTTCTCTTGAGGCCACTGACTCAAAGGAAGAAACTGTGCAGAGAGTCGAGTATAGATGTCCTCTGGGAAGTACTTCTTGCCATATAGCTGAAGGAACTCAGGATAACCCCATATAAGAAGATGTCTTATAGACATCAAAAGTCAACCGAGAAGAACTGCCTCCCTCTCCTGTGGTGACTGATGCCTGTGCTGCTGCTCTCGTCTCGGTGATAATTCTCTCTCTGGGAAGTAATGGTTAAAGAATTTGTTGTCCACAGTGGAGACCACTCTGAAAGCATGGTTGTCCGGCAACATCATGAATTCAAACCTTCACCTTCTGAAGGTTTAAGCCAGGAAAGATATCACTTGTAGAGCAGAGGCCCTGGGGGGGACTTGACTAGCATTTGTTCCTGAAGTCACAGGACCAGAACATATTCCACATCTTTTAGTTATTTCACAATCACTTTAAGACACATAAAGCAAAGCCCATTTTTAATGCAAACTCATTTCCACATGCTAAATATGCTCTAGTGCTTCCTTAAATTTTGCAACGATAGCGTATTCTACTCAGTGTTGCGTGAGGGCTCAACAGATGTTCTCATGCAGGAAGTCCTTGTTCCTGAAGCCTCAGAATTTGATGAGTGGGAGCCTGAAGGCACAGCCCTTGAAGGCCCTGTGACTGCTATCATCCCTACATGGCAAGCATTGACCACTCTGGACCTGAGCCACAACAGCATCTCTGAGATCGACGAATCTGTGGTATGCTTGCAGCAGCCTCTCAAGGCCTCACGCCCCTAGAAAAATCTATTAAGTGCTCTACATATTATGTGTAGTCTTTTTAAGTTGAATTTCAAAATGAGAATGTTTTAAAATGGTGAGTTATTACATAAAACCAAGTGAAGTATATGAATTATGTATGCATTTAATATAACCAAACCATGGTGAATGATAATTCCTTTTAAGGAATAGCAGAAAACTCATTGCCTAGAATATAGGTGTGCCTGTGTTAGAGCAACATCCCAATGGTCTTAAGAATGCTTCTTTTTGTGATCCTGTGGGGGAGGACAGGGTAAAAAAGGACAGGTTCCCTTGTTTTTGGAGGACATCACCATGTGTTACCATGTGTATTACTTAAGCCAGTTGTTCTGTCCAAATAGTGGATTCCTTTGGATTTCTGCTGAGTGGGCAGTGGGAGGTGTCAGTGACCCTGCAGATAAGCCAGCCTGGAGCGTGTGTTTAGCCACTGGGTACATGGACTGTTTAGGGTCCTACCTCCTTGAGTAACACCAGACATTCTTCTCTTTCATAAGAAACTGATCCCAAAGATTGAGTACCTGGACCTGAGTCACAACGGAGTGCTAGTTGTGGACAACCTACAGGTAATGTCTGCCCACTAGCTCTCTAGGGCCCTGCTGTCCTGATGGGTCCGAGACTGGAGAAGCATTGCACCCTAGGGGGTGGCAAGCATAGGGGCTGTGGCCTTCCTCTTGGGCTTCCAGGGGCGCACTGATTGTTTTAGTTCCAAAGTGTTCAAAAAGCTGAGTGTGCAGAGTGTGATGATGATAGGCAGGCTGAGTTTTCAGTGCCCACCCCTGACCTCTCTGCAGGGGATACCATGAGACTATGGCATGTGAAAGAGGGAAGAGGGACTTCCCTTCCCAGTGGTTGTCAAAAGACTTGTAAACCTGCCTCACAGAACTGGTCCAATTGGTCTGCAAGGGCACAGTGGCCTCTCTGGAGGCCTAACCTGTGCTGCCTCTGTGTTTCTCCTGCTATTCCAGCACCTGTACAATCTCGTCCACCTTGACCTGTCCTACAACAAGCTCTCCTCCCTGGAAGGCGTGCACACTAAACTGGGCAATGTCAAAACCCTAAACCTGGCGGGCAACTTCCTAGAGAGTCTGAGTGGCCTGCACAAACTCTACTCTCTGGTTAATCTGGACCTCAGAGACAACAGGATTGAGCAGGTGAACCCCAGCCCTGAGACCGTCGGGGATCTGAGATTGCTAGGTCTTGTTTGTTATCTTAAAAAAAGAAAACCAATAGGATTCTGTTCACTTAAAAGAAACCATCAAGTATGTAGTCTGTTGCTGAGTTGTTAAAAGAAGGGGCTAAACGGCACTTCTGTCTTGCAGTTGGAGGAGGTTAAGAGCATAGGCAGCCTACCATGTCTAGAGCGTGTGGCCTTACTGAACAACCCTCTGAGCATCATCCCTGACTACCGGACCAAGGTGCTCTCCCAGTTTGGCGAACGAGCCTCTGAGGTAAGCCCCAGAACCACCCACAGAGCCCAGAGACTGGCAGGATGAATTCCAGTTCTACATAAGCAAAGCGAGGCCCTCGTCTGCATCAGGTCTACAAGTCCACTGCTCCTTCTCCCATCAGTTGTGTGTTCCCTAGCAGGCTTCATGTGCGCCAGATCTTCAGGCCAGGAAGGCTCCAGGAACACATAGGCACAGAGGGATTGTCTTCAACTTTTAAAACATACGTTGGAAACTGAGCAGTGGTGGTGCACGCCCTTAATCCCGGCACTCAGGAAGTCCAGAGGCAGGTGGATCTCTGTGAGTTCAAAGCCAGCCTGGTCTACAGAGTGAGTTCCAGAACAGCCAGGGCTACACAGAGAAACTCTGTCTTGAAAAACCAAAACAGAAAAAAGAAAAGAAATACATTAGATATTTTAGACAAGGGGCCTAAAATAAGATGTCTAAAATTATGTGTAAGATTTTTATTTAGCCGGTAGTGGTGGCGCACGCCGGTAGGATTTGCTGAAGGAGGCAGAGGCAGGAGGATCACGAGTTCAAGGCCAGCCTGGGCTACACATTTTTAAAAAAAAAAAAATTTAAAAAAAAAAAAAAAGATTTTTATTTAATTTATGTAAGCTTCCTAAAATTACCAATTTTTTGAACAGCTGGTAACCCTGGTACTTAACTAACTACCAGCCTTGAGATTTTTTTTTCCCCTTTACTGGATCAATCCAGTCCAGTGCCTGCTGCCTGCTGGTATGGCAGACAGTGCATGTGCCACCATGCTAACCAAGAAAGTCCTCACCCCAGGTATACTCCTTTCCCTCCATCTCCAGCCACTTGGTCTCCATTCCCATTCTCACCAGTTTTTGGAACCTATTTTCTCCAGATCCCTGGCCAGAAGATAACTGTGGCTCTGTTTGCATCTGTCTCCAGCCCTTCTCTGCCCCCACCAAGTGCCACTTTGTCCACATTGTCACTAAGATAATTTACATAAGATGTTATCTCTTGCTGGAGAGAATTGCTTACACTTTTAATTCCAGAATTCAGGTTCTGAAGCAAGAGGGTTACCCAGAGTTCAAGACCAACCTGGGTGACAGAGTGAGACTCTGCCTCAAAATAAATAAATAAATACATACATACATACATACATACATACATACATACATACATATATGTTCTTCCCCTTTTTGGCTCCAGAGCTGGAAAGCCCCGATTCCACCTGCCCAAAGCTTTTGGAGTATCCTTCAAGTGGTTTTTCTGCTTGCATGCTAGCCCACAGCTCTCCAGAATGGGACTCCTGCCTTCTTCCTCTACTATTATCTCTGCCCACTAGTCCCTTGTCCAGAAGTTCTCTTCTTGCTCTTTGACAGTCAATTCCGCTTGTGTTCTGCCTATAAGTAGGAACTCAGTATATTCAGTCCCCAAGAGGCTGCTGCCCCCTCTTAATAGAGAAGGACTCCTGAGATTTCCTAAGCTATGTGGGACCTCCATGGGCCCTCCAAGGTGGTTCTAGGTTTCTTATGTTGTGGTGTAGAGCCTCCCTTAGCCTCCAGTATCTTGTTGGGGGCCTATTGGGGTGCTCAGACCCAGTCTTCAGCGGAATCTCACCATTCTCCCAATATTCTTTGCCAGTTTCAATGCTGTAAGCTACCTTCTGGATTTTGTAGATCTGTCTAGATGATGCAGCAACCACAGAGAAGGAGCTAGACACTGTGGAAGTACTGAAAGCCATTCAGAAAGCCAAGGATGTCAAGTCCAAACTGAGCAACACAGAAAAGAAGGTAAACATGGTAGAGGGAGCCAGCCAAGGATGGAACTTATCTTGGGGAAACTGAGCCATGAACTCCCTTAGGGTCTCTGATCATTAACACCGCTCCTGTCCCCATGAAACCTCAGGCTGGGTCCTCAGGCGGTACAGTGGTGGTACCTACTATTCGATTCTATGAGAGCGTTCTCAACATTCTGTGATCGGGGAATGTTGACTCTTCTTCATGTCCCTGGCCTCAGCATTTCTGTTCTTCCTGTCCTTTCTCGTATGGACTGACTCAGTACTCTTCCTCAGGTTGGTGAGGACACCCGGCTCCCAGCTGCTCCCTGCGTCAGACCCAGCAGCTCCCCTCCCGCTGCAGCTCCCGCCTCAGCCTCCCTGCCTCAGCCTATCCACTCCAACCAAGGTAATCACGAGCAGAACTTGCTCCTAGCTGAGCTGCTCAGCACTGCCTGGACGCAGGCAGGGTTAGGCTTGAGAGAGAAAGGTTGGCACTTGCTTCCTACGGGGAGGGTGGCACATTCTGCAGGCTGGCTCCTTGGATGGCACATAGCAGGGAGGTGCCCGGCCTGATTTCAGCACTGTTGTTTGCTTAGTAAGGACCCCCTTTCCCTTATGGGGTGTTGGACAGAGAACTGAGACTGCCCTTTGAGCAGGATTAGGCTGTTGGCTCATGAGGATCTGTCCCTTGCAGACAGTGTGGGCAGGTCAGTTCCTAGACAGTCAGGCCTTGTTACTTAACTGAGTCTGGAGCCCTTGATCCCTGTGTGGAGAGCTTGCTTTTATCATTGTGATGCCTCTGACTCTCAAGGTACGGCCAAAACCCCCAAATACTGCATTTATGGGACCAAGATGGGCTGTCTGTTCCCATGGACTCATGGAAGAACACCCCCTTTGATCTGCCCATTGTCTGTGAGCATTTTCAAAGGGCTTTCACCTCTGAACCCAGGCATCCGCGGAGATGAGTGAGTGAACCAGGTGCCATGAACGTGGCTGCCAGCCTGGCCCCGACGGAAGAGGGACAGGTATGCCGTCCCAAGTGGAGCTGAGGCTCGGGACACACAGGAAAGAACGCCGCCTGCCCAGGCTCCTGGAGACGCAGAACTTGGTGTGAGGTCTTGAGAAACTAGTTTGGCCCTAGGTTTTAAGAGCCAGAAATACATTTCTATTTCTTGACCTCGTGACCCCACTGGAGAAAACTTTTCTAGAGAGGGCTAAGATCCTGGGGAAGGGGAAGTTTACCCCACTAGCAGCAGTGAACTGTGGCGTGCACACAAGGAGAGCAGGGAAGGGCAGCTGTGGCACAGAACCCTCCACAGCAGTCCTGTCAGGGTGAGAAGCAGAGGTACAGAAAGACAGCACTCGCTCATGTTAAGGCAGAAGCCTTATGCTCAACAGTCTGAAGTCACAACTGATATGCAGAAGAGAAGCCGTGAAAATACAACAGTATAGCTCGATGCCAGCACTTGCCCACTGACTTTGTCAAACTCTGACAAAAAAAAAATTTATTCTTTTTTTTTTTTTTTTTTCTTTTTCTCCATAAAAGAGGAAGAAAGTTTGAGTCTATGTGAGGAAGTTTCTCTAACCTCTCTTCAGGTCCCCACAGTATTAGTGATACCACATAGAAAGCAAGCAACCATAGACTTCTGGGGACAGGGCCATACTAAGGTCCCAAGGCCCAGGATGTAACCTGTTCTAGCATTCGTTGAATCAGTGTGTGTGTTTGTGTGTGTGTTTGTGTGTGTGTGTGTGTGTGTGAGAGAGAGAGAGAGAGAGAAAGAGAGAGAGAGAGAGAGCGCGCGAGCGCGAGCGAGAGAGCGCACATATGTGGACAGGCAAGTGAAGAACAAGGGTAAACACAGATCCTGGCTAGGCAGGTGGAATGAGTGTCTCCTCCAGGCCGCAACTGCCAGCAGCCCTCTACCTTGTGGTGGTGAAGTCTCTGCAGCCTGGGGCAAGCCTCATCTACCCCTTCCTTGGTGCCCTTTTACCCCTGGGTGCTCTGTAGTCTGTCCCCTTTTCCCAGTCATTGGACACTGAGAGATGTTGTCACAGATTTATACCTCTTGTAAATAAACTCCAGTGGATGTCTTTGTGTGCACATCTCTTTCCTTTGGGCGAGAAATGACAAAGGTCAGACCCCTGTCTGAGGACTGCTGGTGTCCCCTATCCCATCTGCTGAGTGGCCCTTTCTGGCCACTTGTTTGTACAGGCCATGGTCCAGGAAGGAAGTGGACAGACTGTCCTGTCTGCATTTCCTCATGCCCAAACAAGGCTGGGGTGGGGAGGTAAAGGGTAGTGGCAAGAACATAATGCCGTTTTTTTTCTTTTTGTCCTCACAAATGTGAGGCACCTACATATATGTTTGTTTGACCATGTGTTACTGGAGCTGGCCTGGGTGGACAGTAGTTTTTCTATGTGAGAACAGTTTTACTGACTTACTACGGTGGCTCCCAATCTAAAACACACTTGTGAAAATGTCGAGAAAACACTAGGCCTCTGTCATCACAGCTGTTAGAGCAGTGGATTGTTGTGACTGAGAGGAGCCAGTGTCCAGGATGCCAGAATCCATTCTCCAGCCTTGTCTAGGGCCTGAGAGAAGGTTGTTGTAGAAGTGATTAGAAGCAGGCAGGCAGCTGAGTTCATGTTCCATCCTCCTGGCCATGAGATCTCGAGCACCGTGCAGCACTTGGAAGCTCTGCAGCCTCTTCTGTTCTCTCAACCATAAGTGGACCCATCCCACTTCACCGATTCTAGGATGCGCACTTCCACCTATGACTTCTCTGAAATTGAGATGCGTCTTTCAGTCAGTGGCGTCCCCTAGTTGCTGTCAGCCAGCTGGTAATCGTGATGGAATCGTGGGAAATCCTTCCGTGGACTTCTGCTATGACCAAGATGGCCCCTCCTCCACAGATCTTAGATTTGATGAACTGTGGTAAATAACGAGGTGCGCATGAGCTGATGCTGGGGAAGCGCTTAGCAGTGCTGAGACTCAACAGGACTGGTCAGTAGGGATGCTTTCCTTTATCTTGAGTTGGGGTTTTAGAGCAGTACCTCTAGGAACGTGGAGCCACTTGGGGAGAGAGACTACACCCATGGAAGAGCGAGGTAGAACAGTTTGGGAATACGTTTAGGACTGTAGCAGAAAGATGGGTTGGGTTAAGATATTTCAGTAGCAGGGACAATATAAGCAAAGACCGGGGACGCTTGGTGCTTGGCTGTGTGCTTGTCCCCTTCCTCCCTCGCAGCCTCTGCAGCTTAGCTTCATGGGAGTATCTGGGCTTGGGCTGCCTGCTTACCCTTTGGGCAGAGAAGCTGGGCTGGCTGAGTTGTTCTGTTCTAGGCAGCAGTCAAGCTGGACAAGGTGTCCCAGGCTCTGAGGGTTCAATCATTTAACTGGGCCATGGTGACTGTTCAGCAGCAAAGCCAGGCTGTGGAGGCAAGGCTCTTCTAGACCATCCTTTTGGTGGTGGTGGTGTTTTATTTTTGTTGTTGTTGTTTGTTTGTTTGTTCTGGTTGTTGTTTTTTAAGTGGGAAAGAGGGGTTTCCCTTACCTGGCTTGCAAACTCGAATGAAATAATAGATCCAAGCAGCCTATTCATAGAAGACCTTGATTATGGCTCAAATAATCGATGCATCTCAAAGCACATGATTAGGACAGTCAGTGGGGCGCCCTGGTAAGGAAACCTGTGGGTTCAGGCTCCAGCAAGCCCTAGAAGAATCAAGTCTGTAAAGCCTGGCTTCTCGGTAAAGGGTCCTGTGCTTGGAATTTGCAAGCCCTGCAGAGATACCAGATGAGGGCACAGGGTCATGTGTAGTCCTTTCTTTGTGTTCCAATATGTCCACAGCTATTGATAAGTATATCACCAGATTGCTTTCTGACAGGTGGACCAGCTTGTACCCCAGTGCCCACCTCTTTCTAGTTAGACTGGGCCAGGCTGCATGCTCTAACCATGCCATAGAAACAGAAAAGGTGGTCTTCTATTTCAATTTGTCTTTCTTTGTGTAAGCATTGTTTTGCATGTTATATTTCATGGAGTGTCTGTTCATATTCTTTGCATTCTCACGGAGATTTCAAACAAGTTGTTCCCCATTTTTGTAATCTGTAAAAAGATCTTTAAGATATAGATCTTTGTTTATACTCTGAGCACATTTTTCTCTGCATTTCTCTGTGCGTTGTTTTGTCTGTCTATAGAGTGCACCTCTAGGGGTTTGGTCTTCATGATTCTCTCCCCTGCTTGTCTGCTCAGAAAGCCTCTTCCTGACAGTAGAGAGCAGCCACATGCTCGACCCTGAGTTACTGAATTACTGCATTTTATTCTGTGACCCGTATGATGGATGATTTGGGATCTGGCTAGTGCCCAGCCGTGCCATGTGCCCAGGACTTAGCTTCTTGTTGAACAGCTGCTCTTCCCGCCCACTTGCCTACCTCATCTCTGCAGGAATCATGTTCGTACAGGAGGAGGCCCTGGCCAGCAGCCTCTCATCCACCGACAGTTTACCCCCTGAGGACCGGCCCATTGCCCAAGACTGTTCTGACTCCTTGGAATCTATCCCCACAGGACAGGTAAACGCCCTTGCCTGCTCCTCGGTACTATTTCCTCAAACCATGATGCTGCTGCGTAATATTCTTCACAATGGGGTGTGGCCTGGTGAGGGTATGGCATGTGTTGCTAGGGCTTCTGGGGGTATTTTGCATGACATGCAGTCTTTCTCTTAGATGTAGCTCTAGTTGGGTCATCTTCATAGACCAGTTGCATAAGGATATGAGTTTGGCCTTCTCCACCCCAAGGAACAAGCAATACTGGGGCCCTGAGGGACAAGAAGGTGGCATTCTTTGGATACACATGAGCTGGCTGTACAAGGGGAACCTCCCATAATGCTTAGCACCCTGAGGCCACTCTGTCCCTTCTCACGTCACCTTGGTTGTCTGAATAGTGAGACTATAATACCTTTTTTGTAACTGCTATCCAGGCTTCTGGGGCCCATCTCTGTGTTCCTGGAAAATAGAATAGGAAAATGAGTGCCTGGTGCTATGTGCTCCACGCCTGGGCCTCTCTATTCCCTGATCCCTACGCAGCAGGGCCATGGTCATGAGATGCTAAGACAGCTCACAGAGCTTTGTCCCCAGTACTCTATCTTAATGTTATAGGAGAGACAGAGACCTGGTCTCAGCACTGGGGGACCTTGCCAGGACCACCTTTCATCATGTCACTGTCTGGGGCCAGACCTCCATGGAAACAGGCTCTGGCCCACGGTTGGGTGTGTAAGCTCAAGTCAGATGGGGGGAAAGCCAGCCCTACTGAATGTTAGCAAGATAGCCAAATGAGCAGTTCACCAAGTTCCAGAGCACACCCAGAGTGGAGGGCAGAGGTGGCAAGGCAGTACCCAGTGAGTGCCAAGGAACAACTACCTGCAGCAGCCGAGGCTCACCTTCTCTCCTCTGTCAGGTGGCGTCTGAAGACTTAAGGGATGTGCCAGGAGCTGTTGGTGGTGCAAGGTAAGGAAAAGAGCCTTGTCTCCGGGGTAGACTGAACACCCAATGGGCCTTGTTAGTAGCCTGTCGGTAGAAGTCTGTCTTTACTCCAGCACAGTTGAGAGGAGTTCTGTCTGTTTCCCTCAGCTGTCTAGTGAACATTGTTTTACACTGGAGGTTGGCAAATCAGAGCCAAATTGGGCCATGGTCTGTTTTGAACTCTGAGCCAAGAATAAGTGTTCTCTCTCTGTTTGCTAGTGGAACTTTTGTTGTTATTTGAGATAGGGTCTCACTATGTAGCTCAAGCTGACCTCAAATTCATGACCCACCTACTCCCTCAGCCTGAGTGTCAGGCACAGAAATAAACCAGTCCACCTTGCTTGATTTTTTGTTGTTGTTGCTGTTGTTGTTTTTTGTTTGTTTTTTGCCTTTGAGACTGTCCTGGAACTTGTTTTGTGGACCAGGCTAGCCTCGAACTCACAGAGATCCGCCTTTTTCTGCCTCCTATTGGCTGGGATTAAAGGTGTGTGCTACCCTGGCTGGCTGCTGCTTCTTTTTGTTGGTAATGTTTTTAAGGTCTGCTTGTTTTTCTGGGCATGGGGATGCACTTCTTTAATCCCAGCGCTCAAGAAAACAAAAGCAGACACATCTCTATAGGTTCCAGGATAGTCTGATCTACACAACAAGTTCCAGAACAGCCAGTGCTACATAAAGAGATCCTGTCTGAAAACAAACAAAAAATCGTTTATTAATTTTAAGTGTTTATGAGTGTTTGCCTGCATGTATATGTTTAACTGCATATATATGCACCACATGTATGCTTGGTGGTGCCCTTGGAGGCCAAGACAGGGCATCACATCTCCTGCAACTGGAGTTACAGATGGTTATTAGCCACCGTGTGGGTGCTGAGAAACAAATCTAGATCCTCCGTGAGAACTTTTGAATACATTTAACTGCTGAGCCGCCGATCGAGCCACTGATTATTGCATTCTTAAATTCCTGTTTAAACAAGATTACATGGATAGGGCTAGCACACGTCAAGAAATGTTAGCTCCTTGGCCCTTTACAGGAGTTCGGGTTTTTTTATTTGTTTGTTTGTTTGTTTGTTTGTTTTTGAGGCAGGATCTCTACATAGCCCTGGCTAGCCTGGGATTCACCATGTAGACAGACTAGCTTCAAAACTCACAGAAGTCCAAGTGGACTTCTGCCTGGTTCTGGGATTAAATCATGCTCCACCATGCCTGGGTACAGAAGTATATTTCAATTTGTTATTCATGGCAGGGTTGTAGAGGTCATGAGGGACTGGAATTTAAATGTGATGGTCCTAGGACTCACCCAACTTGATTTATTGCCCTGGAAAGCCAGAATATCCCTAAAGGTAGTCATTTTTCAACAAAGAGATTCACACCTTGGAGTACTTCATCGCCCATTGACACCTGGTAACATGCAAATGACAGAACTCTATGAGCACTGTTCTATAGCTTCTGTTGTGGAAGCTAGGTTGGTGAAGCAGGTGTGTGTTGGTGGATAGCTGTGCTCTGAGTATGGAGAAGCCTGAACTCAAGCTAGCCATCCTGGTGGCAACTGCTTGAACAGGCTCAGCTCTGTGAGAGGTTTAGGAGACCATGGATTGAGTACTATTGCAGCCTAGGGAATAGGATGTTCCTGTGTCCCTGACCCAGTCTCTTCTTGCACAGCCCAGAACATGCAGAACCAGAGGTTCAGGTGGTGCCTGGGTCAGGCCAGATCATCTTCCTGCCCTTCACTTGCATCGGCTACACAGCTACCAACCAGGACTTCATCCAGCGTCTCAGCACACTGATCCGCCAGGCCATTGAGCGGCAGCTCCCTGCCTGGATTGAGGCTGCCAACCAACGAGAGGAAGCCCAGGGTGAACAGGGTGAGGAGGAGGAAGAAGAGGAAGAGGAGGATGTTGCTGAAAACCGCTACTTCGAAATGGGACCCCCAGACATAGAGGAAGAGGAGGGCAGTGGCCAGGGAGAAGAGGAGGATGAGGATGAAGAAGATGAGGAAGCTGAGGAGGAGCGTCTGGCTCTCGAGTGGGCCCTAGGCGCTGATGAGGACTTCCTGCTGGAGCACATTCGCATCCTCAAGGTGCTGTGGTGCTTCCTGATCCACGTACAGGGCAGCATCCGCCAGTTTGCTGCCTGCCTCGTGCTCACTGACTTTGGCATTGCTGTCTTCGAGATCCCACACCAAGAGTCACGAGGCAGCAGCCAACACATCCTCTCATCCCTGCGTTTCGTCTTCTGCTTCCCACATGGCGACCTCACTGAGTTTGGCTTCCTCATGCCAGAGCTGTGCCTGGTACTCAAGGTACGGCACAGTGAGAACACACTCTTCATCATCTCGGATGCTGCCAACTTGCATGAGTTCCATGCTGACCTGCGCTCCTGCTTTGCACCTCAGCACATGGCCATGCTGTGCAGCCCCATCCTCTATGGCAGCCACACCAGCCTGCAGGATTTCTTACGCCAGCTGCTCACCTTCTACAAGGTGGATGGTGGCTCTCAGGAGCGCAGCCAGGGCTGCTTCCCTGTCTACTTGGTCTACAGTGACAAGCGCATGGTCCAGACAGCTGCTGGGGACTACTCGGGCAACATCGAATGGGCCAGCTGCACACTCTGCTCGGCAGTGCGGCGCTCCTGCTGTGCGCCCTCTGAGGCCGTCAAGTCTGCTGCCATCCCCTACTGGCTGCTGCTCACTCCCCAGCATCTCAATGTCATCAAGGCCGACTTCAACCCCATGCCCAACCGAGGCACCCACAACTGCCGCAACCGCAATAGCTTCAAGCTTAGCCGTGTACCGCTCTCCACTGTGCTGCTAGACCCCACTCGCAGCTGCACCCAGCCACGGGGAGCCTTTGCTGATGGCCATGTCCTTGAGCTGCTGGTTGGCTACCGCTTTGTTACTGCCATCTTTGTGCTGCCCCATGAGAAATTCCACTTCCTGCGGATCTACAATCAGCTTCGGGCCTCCCTGCAGGGTCTGAAGACTATTGTCATCTCCAAGAAGCCTACATCCAGGCCAAGATCCCAAAGTTCCCTCTTGAATGGTCAGCGTGCCAAGGGCAGGACCAGGTGAGACTAGCACAGACTTAGGGCATGGGATTGGCTTGGGTGTGGTCTCTGGGCACTTGTACTTTTGGGGAGTCACTCCTTTACTTTCCCCTTTTCCCTGGCTCCCCTCAGCCCGTACTCCAGATCTCCAGAAGCTTAAAAGCAGCCCAGGCAAGCTGTCCCATGCAGGGCAGGTTAAGGGAGCCAGTCCTGTCTTCACTTTGTCCCTGGTCCTACCACTGTCCACTCATATGCCCAAGCATGGTTTCTGGGTACCATTTTCCTCCTCCACTCCTCAGGGGTCTCATCCAGTGGCTGTCTCTGTCAGCTCAGGTCTGCTCCAGGAACCCCATTCCTGAAAGCAGCTCCCAAGCTTAATTTTTGGTATCACACACAAAGCCCTTCTCAGGAAGGGCTGAGGTGGATCTACTGGAAGCCCCTTCCAAAGGACCTTCTGAAGACCAAGGTGTTGGGGTAGGTCATCTTATCTTCAGGGGAAATCGAGGTGCTTAGCAGGAAGGATCAAGCAGCTAGAGCTTCTTCTCATGTGTCCTCTCCTTGGAGTCCTTGGGAGTGCCCCTGCTCTCCGTTGTGGAATTTCCCCACCTGGGGTCAGGGCACGAATCTAATAGTTGGTGTTCTCTAGCCTGGGAGAATGCCGAAACCCTGTCTTGACCTCTGGCTTTCCTTAGCATCGCCTGGGTCATCTTCTCGCTCAGTCACGGGCTAATGATCCAAAGGACTTCCAGCTCCTACAGCTGATTCCAGTGCCCCTGTTCTACCTGTACAGAGGTGGCTGTCCCCACATTGCCCCTCACCATGTAAAGCTTAGTTAGTATGCACCTGTCTTCCTTCCGAGTTACCACAAGCCTGGCTTGCTACTGGGACTACTACAGAAACCAGACCCCGTAAAGATATATCTGCACACCCAGCAGCTTCATGGGTATTTGATCAAATACCAGATCATGGCCCCAGGGATTACAGCAGTTGGACTGATCTGATGGATTGAGAGGGCAACATCCACCCCCTTTGCTGGGTATGGCCCTGTGGGTTGAATGCTGGAGATCCCAGCTCCCATGAACTTTAGGTTTCTGAGTTGGTCTTATGACTGGGATAGACCAGTGACATTCCAGCATGGCCATGTGCAGTGGTGGTTGAGAAAGCTAAGTGCCTGGGCCACCTAAAGACATCCTCCCAAACCAACTGAGGAGTGTTTTTGAGTTTTGGTTCTCTCCTCTACTAGCCTATATACACCCAGGTTCTAACTTGGGTTCTTGCATAAGTACTCTAGGGTAGCGTTTTTAACACATCTGATACCTTGCTCCCAAGTCATAACCCTGAAGTGGCCTTTCTGATGTCTTTGCAGTGCTTTCAAAATGTACTTCCAGGGCTGGAGAGATGGCTCAGTGATTAAGAGCACTGGCTGCTTCTCCAGAGGACCCTGGTTCAATTCCCAGCACCCACATGGCAGCCACAACTGTCTATAACTCCAGTTCCAGGGGATCTGACACCTTCACACCAATGCACATAAAATAAAGTTAAATAAGTTTAAAAAAAAATAAACTTTGAGTCCATGAGCCAAAGCCTTTATTACATGTCTATGGTCGGCTCAGCCCTGGGGGGGGGGGGGTCTGCTCTGCCCACATCTGCTGAAGAAGAGGACCTGACACTTTCCCTCTGCTGTGTGGTCCTCCCATGAAGAACGTGATGAAGTAGGTCACCCAGTGCCTCCAAGGGTAGCACATGGCATACAGTTGACCTTTACACTCTGATGTGCATAGATATGAATCTCTGTGGGTTCACATGTTTATTTGGCATTTCTTGGGTCACTGGGAGATATAGTGATGAGCAGCGACCACAGGAGGCCCCAGCAGAAGCTCCAGCTCCAGTTCCTGCTGCAGCTCCGGCTCCAGCTCCAGTTCCTGCTGCAGCTCCGCCTCCAGCTCCAGTTGCTGCTGCAGCTCCGGCTCCAGCTCCAGTTGCTGCTGCAGCTCCGGCTCCAGCTCCAGCGGAGGCACAAGCAGAGTCCCTGGCACAAGCTGAGGCCCCTGCCCAGTACCCAAGCGAGCGCCTGATCCAGTCCACATCTGAGGAGAATCAGATCCCTTCTCACTTGCCAGTCTGCCCGTCGCTCCAGCACATTGCCAGTCTTCAGGGGAGCGCCATCATCGATCTCTTCCACAACAGCATTGCTGAGGTATTGGCCCAGGCGCTGCTCTTGCTGCCTGGCACTTGTGTGGGGCGAGCTGTAGGCTCTGCTGTGCTACCAGTCAGTCTGAGGGTAGAGCAGGGTTTGTGTGGGGACATCCTTAGGTCCCAGATTTCTCTGACATCATGTGGTCATCACCTCCACCTGCTCACAGGGTTGAGGATCTGGTCAAATGGTCTGCCACTCACCTCCCCACCAGGTGTGCCCTGTCATATCTAACTCTGTGTAGCCCTGGTGCAGGCACAAACACCTCCTTTTCTCACCTCTTCTCTGCTCTGAGTTTGCTTGATAAATGCGATGAGCTTCCTGTCCCTCCTCATCCGAGTCCATGAGCAGTTTCTAAGACCAGGAGTCACCACAGTAGAAGGACGGGCTGCCTGGAGTCTGCACTCAAGTGTGGTCTCGGAGGAAGGAAGGTGTGGCCTGTCCCACTCCATTCTACAGGCTCCCACATTGCTCCCCTGTACCCAGGTTGAAAACGAGGAGCTGAGGCACCTCCTGTGGTCGTCAGTGGTGTTCTACCAGAGCCCAGGACTGGAGGTGACCGCCTGTGTGCTGCTCTCCACCAAGGCTGTGTACTTCGTGCTGCATGATGGCCTCCGCCGCTACTTCTCAGAACCACTCCAGGGTAGGCACTCCGGCCTGCAGGGCAGGATAAAAGCCAGCTGTGGACTTGGGTGGCAGCTCTGTGCTCAGAGTCCCTCATCTGAGGAAGGGGTAACAGCAGTTCTTCCCTAAGGTCAGATATGGGTGTGCCATGCCGGGGATATGATAGCCTCTGCCTCTTGGATCTCAGTGGGAGTCTCATCCAGTGATTTGGTGACTCCGCTGGGCTGATGATGCTGGTACCCACACCGGGTCTCTTGAAGTCCTCCATGCGTGCAGGTGGTGGTGGCTCCTTGCCAGGTGACGCTCCCGCTGGACATGTTTAACCTTGGCCTCTTCTCTCCACCACAGATTTCTGGCATCAGAAAAACACGGACTATATCAACAGTCCTTTCCACATCTCTCAGTGCTTTGTGTTCAAGCTCAGTGACCTGCAGTCAGTCAATGTTGGCCTTTTCGACCAGTACTTCCGGCTGACTGGTAAGTGACCCAGCGTGGTTTGTCCCAGTTTGGGTGAAGGCCAGTGTCGTCAGTGGGCCTCTACCTTGAACACATGGGTGCATTATCACTAGACACATTATGTCCACTTACAAGTCAGGTACTCGGGTGGGAGGAAGCGGCTCCAGGAACTGCTGAGATGGCAGGACTCCCATACCAGGGTTTATAGACGTGGGGGGCGGGTGTGCAGGGAGCAGCCAACCCGAACTGCAGCAAGAGTGGGCCCTCAGCCTAGGGGCAGGATGTTTCTGACTCACACTTCCTGAAGAGAGAAAGCTAAGTTCTTCCCCTAATGCTTCTATCCCTTCCAGAAAAACGTCTCAGCCCTTCCTGCCTGAGATATGGCCACTTCCCTGGGTCCATGATGCCCTCCTACACGGACCCTCTGGGTCCTGGTTTTCTGGGCAGGGACTTTGCAGGGGATGGGAGTGGTGGCCTGTACCTGTGACCAGCCCCTTCTTGTGCAGGTTCCTCCCCAGCGCAAGTGGTCACATGCTTGACGCGTGACAGCTACCTGACGCACTGCTTCCTCCAGCACCTCATGCTCGTGCTGTCCTCGCTGGAGCGCACGCCCTCACCCGAGCCTGTTGACAAGGACTTCTACTCAGAATTTGGGGACAAGAACACAGGTATCCTGTCCACCCCAGAGCCCTCACTGCATCTCTCTCTAGCCTTGCACTTCTCTCCCGAGCTGGCCAGGGCTTTATGTGGGCCTCTTCCATGGCAGACTCCATCCAGGAGGTAGCTCTCAGCCCTGGAGCACCCTTTGCTACCTCTCATTTAGATTCTAGGGCTGGTGTGGGGCTGCTGTTGCTTCTAACCCCACCAAAGGCTAGCTCAGGCTACAGCCCTAATGTCATCTCTTCCTGTAGGAAAAATGGAGAACTATGAGCTGATCCACTCCAGCCGTGTCAAATTCACCTACCCTAGTGAGGAAGAGGTTGGGGACCTGACCTATATCGTGGCACAGAAGTTGGCTGATCCTGGAAAGGCTCCATCCCTCAGCATCTTACTGTATATCCAGGCCTTCCAAGTGGTCACACCAAAGCCTGGACGGAACAGGGGCCCGCTGCGCCCCAAGACACTCCTGCTCACCAGTGCTGAGATCTTTCTCCTAGATGAGGACTATATCCACTATCCGTTGCCTGAATTTGCCAAAGAGCCACCACAGAGGGACAGATACCGGCTAGATGATGGCCGCCGTGTCCGGGATTTGGACCGGGTACTTATGGGCTACCAGCCCTACCCACAGGCCCTCACTCTTGTGTTTGATGACATGCAGGGTCACGACCTCATGGGCAGCGTCACCCTGGACCACTTTGGGGAGATGCCAGGTTATCCTGGCAGGGCTGGCCAGGGCCGGGAGGTCCAGTGGCAGGTGTTTGTCCCCAGTGCTGAGAGCCGAGAAAAGCTCATTTCACTGCTAGCACGTCAGTGGGAAGCCCTTTGTGGCAGGGAGCTACCTGTGGAGCTCACTGGCTAGTGCAGGCCACAACAGCCCTGGCCACCTGTTGTGTGTGGTCTGGTCTGGTGCCCGTGGGGGCAAGGAAGCCGGCCTTCTGTGTTCCTTTTACGGTGTTCTCCCCTCCCTGGATTCTATACATTGATTGCCCGTGGCCCCCATACAGCTCCCACAGAGAATGTGAACATGTGTGTTGTGTTCATTCTTCCTAATGCTGGGAAGAAGTATGCCAGCCCCACCAGAGTGTCCTTGTGCCGTCAGCCTCCCTTGTGCCTGCCTCTGACATGGTACGGCCAGGCACACAACATTGTTTGTCCGTGATTGTGATGCTCTTGTGAACGCGTGGCGCTGTGAACCTGGTAACCTCCACCTCCTTTCCTAGAGTGTTGAGTCCAGTCCGCTGTTGCTGTTGTTGTGGGCATTTTGCTGCTAATTACGAAGCTGGTAGCAGAATACACAATGGAAGCTCCCATTTTGTGGGCTTTTCCAAAATGGAGGCTTCCTCAGGTCCAGACAAGAGGAAGTCCTATGGGGAGTTCCCAGGCCGTGGGGCCAAGAGGAGTTGGTGCAGGGGACATAGAGCTGCCAGCACCAAGCATAATTCCTGTTGCCTATTTTCTCTATTCTAATAAAGTGGAGTTTGACACAGTCTGGGTCTTTTAGGTCAAAGATAACTGGGGCTTCAACCAAGGGCGTGGTCAGTATGGAGGAGACTACAGACGGGGCGGGGGGACCTCTGGATAGGGCCATGTTTGACTGTGGTCATACCTAGAGCCAGGTAACGAATAATCCACGCAGTTCTTCGGGGCCCCCCTCCAATAGCAGTCCACCTCTTCCCCTTCCTCCGTATATCCTGCATCTGGGTCTTGCCCACTTGAAGCTTTAGTCTAAGGGAAAGGCCTGGAGTCTGGGGTTGCTAATTTGTGTACAACCAGGGGTCTGATGAAGATAGCCTATGAGTGGCAGTAGGAAGTGGACTGGGCGATGGACAGTGGCAAGGAGAGCCTCCTGCTTATCTCTGCCTATAGATTGAAAGTCAGCAGCCACCTGAGGGACCCTGCCAAGTAGGACCTCAGGTTTCATGGATGGTCACCCCCTGAGTCCCACCCTTCCTCCACCGTTTCCCACTACTAGAGCAGGGCCTGTTCCCCACTCGCTACATCTGGGTCAGGTTCTACACTGCTGCTCCCCAGTTCGTTAGTCTAGTGGTGGGCTTTTGTTTTCTTTTTTTCTTTTTCTTTTTTGCTGTCATCAGAGTAAATCCTAGCATGGAGACCCTGCTGCCCTCAGAAAGGGTGTGAGTGTAGAGGAAGGAGAAGGAAGTCAAAAGAGTTCCCAGAAAAGGGCTTCTCACCCTTAATGCCCACCAGCCAGACCTCCAAGGCCAGCCTAGCCCTACACACTGGCAAGATGGGACCTGCCAAGGAAGAGCAGGGAAGTATGTGGCCCTGGGCGCCAGGACCACACAGCATCCACTCGAGTGGAAGGGGGTGATGGTGCAGCTGTCCTAGGGTTCTCTTGCTGCGAAGAGACACTACGACCACAGCAGCTTCTAATGGAAAGCATTAGATTGGGGCTGGCTTACAGCTACCATCATGGCAGGAAGCACAACAGCTTGCAGGCAGGTATGCTAGCGATAACTGAGAGTCACATCTGTCACAGAATCAGGGAGAACTGAGGCACCGGCCTGGTTTGAGCATCTAAGACCTCAAAGACACACTTGCTCCAACAAGGCCACACATCTAATAGTGCCAGTCCCTGAGGGGCTATGAGGGGGGGGGCATTTTTATTCAAACCACACACACACACACACCTATAACCCTAATGTAAGCAGGAGGCTGAGGCAGGATGATGAGAGCCCAGCCAGCCTGGAGTAGACAGCAAGACCCTTGTTTTTAAAAAAAAAAAATTAAAAAGCTAGGCTTGGTGACTCAGGCCTATAATCCCAGGAAGGTCAAGCGTCTGAGACCAGTTTGAGCTATGCTGTAAATTCTAAGGAAGTTTGTTTCAGAGAGGGGAGGAAGAGGAAGGGGCCGGGGAGAAACAGAAAATACAGCAAGTAAGAGAGAGCAGTAACAAGTAGCCGCGCCTCCCACTCTCCTCCTGGGGGAGCCTGGATCCGAAGCATAAACTCAGCTCAACTGCCCGGGGTTCTGAGCCTACATCCTCTAACAATAACAGGAATAGTAAATCAACTATCTTCATTTTATTCTGTGTCTCTTACACATCTGTACTAGCCAAGATGGTACCCCTGCTCTTTCTCAGCTGACACTCCAGGGGCTACAAAAAATGAACTAGTAAATAGGACAGTGGCCGCTGATGGCCAGTGCCGAGGGGGAATGAAACCAAGCCCTGGGTTGCCTGGAAGCCTGGGGTCGGGTCACGGAAGTGCTCTGAACCCTCATATAAAGGAAAACCGGGGCTGGGGTGTAGGCAGCAAAGCACCTGCAGCCCAACACACACAGCCGTAAACTAGTGAAATGTAGCAGAATTTATTAGAGCAAAGAAAACCTAATTCTTTAATCAGGCAGCACTGAGAAGAACAGTAGCTGGACAGACCCAAACCACACAAGACTTAGAGGAGACAGAAAGGCACAGAGAACATTTAAATTAGGCTTGGGTGGTAGCTAAGGTCCCTTACACAAGCTGCAATTGAGATCCAAGTGCCTGGTCTTTTGGGCACAGCAAGAGATTCTAGTCCAAACAATGGCTTCAACACCAGACGCCACACCTGCCTGGAGGGGAAGCAGCAGGTACCCTGGAGCTTACTTTTTGTTTTTCGAGACAGGGATCCTCTCTGTAGCTTTGGAGCCTGTCCTGGAACTCACTCTGTAGCCCAGGATGGCCTCGAACTCGCAGAGCTCTGCCTGCCTCTGCCTCTGAGTGCTGGGATTAAAGGCCTGCACCACCAGCGCCCGGCTCCCTGGAGCTTACTTTAAGAAAAAAGCCCCAGCTGGCCAAGAGGCAGAATAGAAAAATTTTACAGGAATGTGGGAAACACAAAGTCCAGTCAAAGCCCCATACACATTAAAGCCAAGTGTTGGTGGTGCACACCTTTAATCCTGCCACTCAGGAGGCAGAGGCAAGTGGATATCTGAGTTTGAGACGAACCTGGTCCTCAGAGCAAATTCCAGGACAGCCAGCGCTACGCAGAGAAACCATGTCTCAGAAAACAAAACAAAACTAAAGCAAACCCCAAAAAACTTAAGTATTTTAATAAGTGATGACTGAGAAGCCTGCACACGTGTTCTTGAATGTGCTTTAATTCTTTAACACTACTTTTAGTAAAACCTCACTTCTAGTTCATACTGGCCACTCCTGAAATTCTTTTCTACTTTGAACCTATGAATTATGGGTTTGCCTAAGTGGATATCCCTAAAAGATTAAAGAAACTCCTTAGGCTGTGGAGCTGTGGCTGTCAGTCACCTCTGACATCTGAGCAGAGCTGGAGACATCACAGAAACCCACCACAGGCATAGAAAGGATTGACGTGTGGTAGGCAGTGGGGGGAGGGCAGGCAGTCGGGGGAGGGGGACCTGTAGAGCGGGGCTGATGGGGGGGCCATGAGGGCCAAGAGTGGGCAGGCTGGTGAGGGAAGAACAATGTGGGGGGCTAGCCTGGCCCTAACACTTCCCTCTCCTGATGTTGGGGGGAAAGAGTGAAGCAGCTGGTCCAGGGGCGGCCAGCCCAGAACAGGGGCCACCCCACTACCTCCTAGCCAAGCCAGCCACCAGAACCCCAAAGGCTCTGAATGAAAACCCGGCTTGACAGAAGCAGGAAAATTGTTTATCGGTGTTTGAATTTGCTTCAGAATCTCCCCTAGGCCCCAGGCAGGTGGCTGATGGTTGCTTTGGACCTCCAGGCTGTGATGTCAGGATCCTGGGCCAGGAAGGCCTGAACTGGGCCCAGGTCGTCCACGTGGGGGTCAGTGGCCAGCGTCTTCCCTTCCGCCTGCAGGCTGCTGATACGCAGGAGGAAATCCTGGTGGGTTCCTGTGGGGGTGAGCTGACGGATAGCTTTTAAAGCGACTGCTCACCCACCCCGTCCTGCCTCCTTCCTCATGCCTGCCTCTTGGAGCTCACGCACGGCCTGCCACTGCAACCTCTGTCTCCACACAGTTTCTCTCTCAGACAGCGGATCTGCCTACCATGGCAGAATCCAGGATTCTCCTTTTGTTCTGCTTTTTGATCTTCTGCCTGGCAGGCTCCAACTTCATCGGAGGGCAGAAGGTGAGTGGAATCAGTCTCAGGGACCAGGGAGGGAGCGTGTATAGCTGGTGCATGTACGGGGTGGGGGCTATCAAAGCAGCTGGTACCTGTCTGACATCCATGAGGGCCCAGGTTGCCAGGCTGTTGTCCCACCTCCCCAGGCTGAAGTCTGTGGCTGTTCTACCTGAAGTTCAAGGCTACAACAGCTTGATCTCCTCTATGTTTGGCAAACTGTGTACTATGTATGGGCAGCCATCCTGGGTTCCCCAGCCTGTAAGTGAGCGGGAACAGAGCAAGCCCCATCCTCCTGGCCTCCCCACCCGGACTGAGGCCATCGTCTATGTGGTCCTTACCTGGGGCTTTTTAGATGTGATCACTACCCAGCTTCTGGGAATTCTAACTGGAGAGACTCCTTCAGAACCTGGCCACACATGTGCCTGTGACCAGCTCTGAGCCTGTCTTAGGTCTCAGAACTGCCCCCTGGCCAGCCCTGGGCATGGCCCCTTCAGTCTTTACAACCTCTGGCCAGCTTGTTCTGTTCTTTTGTTGGGCATCCAAGGCTAGTGAAGGATGGCTACAAGCTGCCCCCACTACAACCGCAGTCTAGACCGCAGCCTGTGATTCCTGCTCAGGCCTGCAAGTCCCCATGTGGGTGCACCGAGTGGATAAGAGGTCCCTGCGGCCAAGAGTGCCAGGCTGCTGTTCCCTGTTCCTAAGTCTCCCCATCCCATAGTAGGGAGGCTGCTGCTTGGGCTTTGGGAAGAGCTCCACACCCTGACTGCAGAGACTGAGCTTTGGATCTGTAGCTGGGAAAGGGAGATTCCCTTGTGAGACCAAGTTCATCTGTTTCTTGAGCAGTTTCAAAATTTCCTGTGGTAGAGAGGGGATCTGCCACCAGGTAGCCGTGGGGCTCTTTGTCTTTACGCTCCCTGTGGCTCCATGGGGGGGGGGGGGAAATGATTTCAGGGCCAGGCCAGGGCTGGGAGGGGCAGGTGGGACATGATGGTGGAAAAGCCACCAGCTCCTGGGGTGTGTCTGGCTGGAAATCACCTGTCACCTGTGTTCTGGGCAGTGGGGACAGAGGTTAGTGAGAGACCTCAGCTTGGAGGGCTTGTTGATTGTTTGTTTGTTTTGTCAGACTTGGTATAGTTCTAGACAGTCCTGAGTCTGTAATTCTGGGACTGGGGCCCAGCCAGCCTGGACCAGAGAAGCGGTCCTGAGGCCCCTGTAGTAGAAATGTCCTTTCTTCCTCTCACGGTCACTCATCCTATAAGACGTGAGACACAAGCTGTAGCCAGGATGGGGAAAGGCACCCCTGGGTCACACAGCCAACGAAGATGATGGCAATAGGGCTTGGCACAGCAGGCTTGGGCAGTGGAGGCGCCCAGAGCTCCCCGAGGGGAGGATCTTAGCATATGTCCATCTAGAAGCCCAGGGACTACTTGGTATCGGCATAAACCTGGGGTCCACAGTCAAGGTACAAAAGCAGGGGCATCGCCAAGCCTCCAGCTCTGTCCAGTCTCCTGGAATCCAGAGGAGCGGGGCTGGGGGCAGCTCAGGAGCCCTTCCTGCCTTATGGGGTTTAGGTTCTAGGCTGTCAACCTAGAGCCTCTTTAGGACCTTGGTGCCAGCTTGGGGAGTTTCTTTTGCCTTACTATTGGGCTTAATAGCTCATGTCTCTTCGGCTTCCCCAGCAGCACCTGCGCAGGAGACAGATACTGTAAACTCAACCCTGAACTGAGTGCTCTAGCAGGTCCCAAGGTGCCCCCCAGAAAGCTGAAGTCCAACCCCATCCCTCTCAGCTGGATCAAGGCCGATTTGAATGCCTGTCTAGGGTGTGGTCCCGGGAGAGGTGCTGATTTGGCAGTTGGCTTATCCACACATCACCACTTCACACATGCTCACAAAGCTCCAGCTCCCCCAGCTCTCTCCGCCCTCCCTCACTCTGAGTGACAGCATTACCCAAGCCCGGCAGAGCATCCTAGTGTCCGGATCCGAGTGGCGGCCTCACTGCAACCTCTGCCTGCCTCTGCCTCGGCAAGTGGTTTGGAGGGTCCCGCTGTCAGCCAGCACAGGCCCTGAACCTGAGCCTAAGTCGTTCAGTTTCCCAGCTGTGCCCTGGTTCTGCAAAGAGGGACTTTGTGATGACGAATCCAAACCTAACATCAGGATCCAAACAGCCGGTTCTGAGGTTGTGCTGAGTAACTTCCCTCTTGCTAGACCGCAGAGCTGAGCAGAAATCACAGCAGCAGGGATGGGCGCCTGGGACTTTGTACTCCCCCAAAGAAAGTGTTTTTCCTTTTCTCTGGTTTTGGGAAGTCACTCATGTATAGCTCATTTTAGGAGAGGGATTCTGGGTGCACCCCCTTTGCAGTACTGTGTGGTCAGCAGTTTCAAGAAGAGAACATGTGGCTTCTCCAAGAGTTCCTTCTCCGAGCCTGTCACTCACAGCTAGGAGCTCGGTCTGCCCTCCAGGGTACAGCCTGTAGCTTCTCTTTGGCCCTAAAGGTGTCCTCAGTGGAGGTCAGTGGAGGACTGCCTTCTCTGCCTGGGACAACAGGATGGAGGCAGGAAGGGCCTCTTCACACCTTCCACCCCCACCAGCATGACACCCTCAAGTGATGCCCTCACCCACTCCGCCCCGCCCCACCTCTGCCCAGACTCGGGTCTCTACACAGTGCCGCTTTAAAGCACTCACTGAAGCCAAGTGTGGTAACTCACACTTACAACAGGTGGACATGGAGGTAGGAGGGGCGGAAAGTCAAAGCCAGCCTGGGGCTACATGAGACATATATGAAAGCTTTAAGAAATAAATTTACCGGGTGGTGGTGGTGGTATATGTATTTAATCCTAGCAGTCAGGAGACAGAGGCAGGTGGATCTCTGAGTTCAAAGCCCTGCCTGGTCTTCAGAGCGAGGTCTAAGACAGTCAAGGCTACCTAAAGAAACCCTGTCTCAAAACAAACAAATGAGCGAACAATAAACAAGTAACCTTTAAAACAACAAGTAACTCATTAGCTGGGTCCTGGGGCCGCACCCAGCTCTGCTCACCCAAGCTTAGCTGGCTGTTGTCAGCAGCTCCCCATCTCTTGCTGCTGTGCAGGTCGCACGTGGTCATTGCTCTTTTTCATCCCAGCCTTGGTTCTGTTGCCCCTTCAACCAGACACTGACTCTGGCCAACTCTCTTACAACCTTCAGGTTCAAGTCGTGGGAGTAGTTTCAGTAGTCAGCATGGCACAGCTGGGACTCACCTGGGAAGGGGGTCTCAGTGAAGGATTGCCTAGGTCAGGCTGGCCTGTGTGTGTCTGTGGATGCCTAGGTCAGGCTGGCCTGTGTGTGTCTGTGGATGCCTAGGTCAGGCTGGCCTGTGTGTGTTTGTGGATGCCTAGGTCAGGCTGGCCTGTGTGTGTTTGTGGATGCCTAGATCAGGTTCGCCTGAGTGTGTTTGTGGAAGATGATGTGGATTATGTCAGTTGACATGTGAAGGCCCAGCCACTGTGGGTGGCACCATTTCCTACACAGGGTTTCTGAGCACTAAGACATTGGCTGTGGCTCTCCTATGCTTATAAGATTGTGGATGTGAGCCCGGCGATGGTGGCGCACACCTTTAATCCCAGCACTGGGGAGGCAGAAGCAGGTGGATCTGTGAGTTCAAGGCCAGCCTCAAACTAGTTCCAGGACAGCTAGGGTGTTACACAGAAAAATCCTGTCTCAAAAAAAGGACTGTGGCTATGGTATCACTGGTTGTTTTAAGTTCCTGTTGCCTCGACTTCTCTGCAATTATGGACTATAACCTGAAATTCTGATCTGAAATACTCCTCTAAGTATTTTATCAGGGTATTTTATTAACAGAAATAAAATTGAACATCCTGGGTCCTGTTCTGCCAGCTGCCCCCGCTGCCTGTCATTGCCTAGACTCTGGGTCCCTTTCTGCAGGTGAGGCCTTGGGCCATGACAGGCATCAGGGCTGCCCAGTATAAACATATCAGGCCAGACCCTCTGCTTAGGGCATGGCTGGTGCTTGGCTGGAAGCTTGAGCCTTGTCTTAGTGTGATAGACTGAAGATGAAGTCACTGTATTCTCCCCACCCCCAGGCGGTGTGGGCTTGACTGTCCTGGAACTCCCTCTGCAGACCAAACTGGTCTCCAACTCAAAAAGATTCACCTGCCTCTACGTCCTGAGTGCTGGGGCTAAAGGCGTGCACCATGACACACAGTGAAGTCACTGTTTTCTTGCAAACAGCGTGAGGCTTATTGTGTGTCTATCTGGACTAAAGAGGCAAGAAGGAATTCTATGCAATGAATGTATACCAGGCCCGGCTTCACATCCTGTCCCTGTACCAGGTTGGCAAAGGGCTACCTCACCTTCATCTCCTCACCTTAGATGGAAATGACTCTCCCATCGGAAGATAAAGTCCTGAAGACTTTCAGCCATGGACATGGAGACAGGATGTGGCATTAGCAACTCCTCATAGGGAGGTTTCTGAAGACCTTCCCCGGCCTCATTCCCACCGAACAGAGGGGAAATTGTGGTCTTGCTGTAGCCAGTATGGACTCAGGGCTAGACCAGGGTCTGGGCCCCTTCCTCACTGTGTATTCTGCCTACGGCCCAGGTGCGGTCTAAACGCTGTGACGTGAAGACCAAGTTTGTCACACACTCGCCCTGCACCGCGTGCGCAGCTGTCAGGAAGCGGTTGTGTCCCTTAGGCTGGTTTCGGAACTTCCCAGAGAAGATACTCCTGGACTGTCGGTATGGGCACACCGCTCCCTTCCCACTTTCAGAAGGGTGGCAGGGGACCCAGAGGAGCCTCACTGACCTCCAGGTGGGGGCGAGACAAAGTATCATTAACCCGCACACCTGTGGGCTCGGCCATGGGCCAGATGGAGAGGCCAGAGGTGTGTGGATATGATCCCTGAAGCTCAGTGTGAGGATGGTGGAAGTATGCATCACCTCACCACCGGCCTCCTCTTTCTCCTAGCTATGAGGTGCAGCTGGGGGGCTCTCTGGTCTCCTTAAGTGGCTGTAGCCAGGAGTGCTGGAAGGAAGTGGTGCAGAAGGCCTGCTGCCCCGGCTATTGGGGTTCCCAGTGTTATGGTATGGAAGAGACAGCCCGCCCGCTCCGCCCCCTCTCTGCCCCAGCCCCACCTTCTCGTCTGAGAAGAACCTATACTGGCCTCAGCCTGGTGACCACTCATTGGAAGCCACCCTAGCTCCCTAGCACTAGCTGTCCAGGGGTTGGAACCGGAAGAAGAGGTAAGGGAAATATTCTCAGAGAAAAACTGAGTTCTTGGGGCCCACAGAGTGCCCTGGAGGTGCCGAGACCCCGTGTAATGGCCATGGGACCTGCCTGGATGGCATAGCTGGAAATGGGACCTGTGTGTGTCAGGTAAGGGTTGAACAGGGACAAGGTGGGCATGTTGGGGAAACCCTACTGACTTTGTGCATTCACAGGAAAACTTCAGCGGCTCAGCCTGCCAGGAGTGCCGAGACCCAGGCAGATTTGGGCCTGACTGCCAATCAGGTAAACTTGCAGGGCCTCCTGGTAAGGCCAGTCCTGCCTGCCTTTAACCCCTCTGAACTCCTCAGTCTTGCCTTTCCCTCCTTGAATGCTTGCTTGCCTTGCTTCCTTGTGCCCTGAGGCTCTTTGTCATCTCAGAAGCCTCTTCCAGGAAGCCCTTTATGATGTCCACCCCCCCTTTCACCTGGCTCTCTCTGGGCTTCCCCCTTTCCCTGCGATCCTGTACCACGGCTCTGCATTCCCAAGATTATTCCTACATTCCAAATACACAATTGGAGAGGAAGTGATGTTCTCTTGTGTCTCTCTCAGTTTGCAGCTGTGTACATGGCTTGTGCAACGATGGGCCACGGGGGAATGGGAAATGCCTGTGCTTTGCTGGATATACTGGCACCCGCTGTGACCAAGGTGAGCAGCGCTGTCTGAGAGGGACAGTAGGTTCTTTGTGGCCAAAGCAGGGGAGGACAACTGGGTGCCAGATAGTGTCTGAGTAGAAGCAGGACCTCGGCCTGCAGCCTGTTGGAGGTCTGGGAGTGTGTCATCTCAGCTTCCAGTGTCTGGAAGTTCAGGGAGGTGGGGCAGCTGCCTGGAGTCACACAGCAAGCGGAGCATGGCGCTTTGTGAGCCCTTCCTCCCCAACCTGAGGTTGAGCCTCCACGGTGACTTCTCCTCTCAGAGGTTCCAGTCTGCCAGGGCCTGAGATGCCCCCAGAATTCCCAGTGCTCTGCAGAAGCACCCACCTGCAAGTGCCTGCCGGGATACACTCAGCAGGGCAGCGTTTGTCTTGGTAAGCCTGTGATCTGGAGGCAGGGGACTTGGAGAGCTGAGTGGGTGGGAGGCACTGGGAAGGAAACCTTTTGTACCAGACCGTGCAGTCTGGCCACTCACGCACAAAAAACCAAACTAAACCAAACAAACAAAACAAAACCTGTCCCTAAGAGGCAGAAGGCCTGGGGCTCCTCTGATGGAAACCATGATGAGAAGGCTCCTGGAATTCAACTCACTCAAGCTTTCTCTGCCCTGGCAGCTCGTGACCCTTGTAAGCTGTCCCCTTGCTCCCCACTGGCCCGATGTTCAGTGAATCCCAAGGGGCAGGCTCAGTGTCACTGCCCAGAGAATTACCACGGTGATGGCAAAGTGTGTCTGCCCCTGGACCCATGCATCACCAACTTTGGTGGTTGCCCCAGCAACTCTACCCTCTGTCTGTACAAGGATCCAGGCAAGGTGAGCTAGGACACCTGCTTTTCCACTCGGAGCAAGTCACCCCAGATGCCCCACTTTTAAGATGCGGGGAGAATGCCAACCCTAGTCTTTGAGGATGGGTGGCAGGGCTGTGTGAGGGAGACACATGCAAGCAGTTTCCCTGAATTCTGACTGGTGGATGCTCCACCCCTTTCTGGCCCAGGCCGTCTGCATATGCCAGCCAGGTTTGATGAGTCTTAACAACGATGCTTCTACGGGATGCTATGCCTTCTGCAAACCACATTCCTGTGACAAATCGGCCACCTGTCAGGTGACCGCTGATCAAAAGACCACCAGGTGGGCACAGGGATCAAGTGGGAATGGGCATGGCGCAGGGAGGGTGGAGTGGGTAGTGTACTCAGCTGTATTCCTCCATTCGAGGCCCGGCAAGGAGGGCTGGGGAGGACCAGGGGGATGGCCCGTCATGTCTCTGACCAGTCTCTCTGGGTCTCCAGATGTGTGTGCAGGGATGGTGAGGTGGGTGACGGCCGTGCCTGCTACGGACACCTGCTCCATGAGGTTCAGAGGGCCAATCAGATAGGCCTGATGCTTGCGCGGTTGAAACTGGCCATTGCCATGCTGGGTATGTGTCCCCCAGCCTACTTGTGACAATACCCTAGTCCCACAGAGCTGGGAGGGGGGGCCAGCCTCTGCACAGACTCTTGTTTCTTTGCCCCAGAACTGGGTGAAGCCAGGATAGCGGTGGGAACTGGTCCCAGCACTAGTGTCTCTTCCCACGCTAGGCATCTAGACCCACCCCTCTGGAGCTCCCCGTGTTTATTCGGACATGACCTTTCTCCCCCTTACAGAGCAGGGCTGCCAGGAGATCCTTACCACATCGGGTCCATTCACTGTACTGGTGCCGTCCTTCTTCGTCTCTTCTGTCCCCTCCAGGACCATGAATGTGAGCTCCTTTTCCCCTGAGAGCAGGCCAAGGCCTCCCTGTACATGATGCTCTGAAAACAGAGACCTGCAAGGCCTCTCCTCTCTGTGACTCAGGCAGGGGGAGTTGCAGAGGGCTGGCCTGTCTGGGCTAACCCAACACTCCGTCCCTGTGTACCTGCAGGTGACCCTCGCCCAGCAGCTCTGCAAACAGCACATTATTGCAGGGGAGCACATCCTGGAGGATGTAGGGCCCTCGAATACCCGCAAGTGGTGGACGCTTGCTGGCCAGGAGATCACCATCAACTTCAACCATCTGGTATGACAGGGACCTCCAGGGGAGTGGCAGGTGGATGACAGAGCTGGGACAAATGTGCGGAGGTGGGAAGGAGCTGCAGGACAGAGGGCTGGCATAGGGGACATGGTCCTGTGTCTGTCTCATCAGAGATACACCTATAAGTATGAAGACCAACCTCAACAGACGTTCACCATCCAAAAGGCCAACTATGTAGCAGCCAACGGGGTCTTCCACACGGTCACTGCCCTACGGAGGCAGCTTCCCCCTCCACTCCCAGGGGACCCCAAGGTGAGCCAGCAAGCTCTTCTCCACCCTGTGCCATAGGGGATGGTGTTTAAATCCAGGCATGAGGCTGCTCTGGCTTGTGGAAGCATGGCTCCTCCTCCTCCTGAGGCTGAAGTAGCCTCATCCTGCCCTTATACCTGCAGAAAACTGTCAGCGAGATCCTGGCTTCCACGGAGGCTTTCACGCGGTTTGAAACGATCCTGGAGGTGAGCTTGGGGAAAGCAGCTCTCCCTAGCTGGGCTTCCAGACCAAAACAGCTCACTGCCCCAGATTATGTGCACTCATCTTCCTAGAGCCTGTCCCCTCACAATCCCGGGGCTTTATGGACCAATGCATCGCTCATGTCTCCCTTGAGCAGTGGGAGCTCCCTCCTGTCTGACAGTGGCAGGAGCCAGGAGCTCTGAGGCCAGGATCTAGCCAAACTTTTCTTCTGCTGTCATAGAACTGTGGACTTCCATCCATCTTGGATGGGCCCGGGCCCTTCACAGTTTTTGCCCCGAGCAATGACGCTGTAGACAGCCTGCGAGATGGCCGACTGATCTACCTTTTTACATCAGTAAGCTCTAAGGGGAGACGGGCTATGGGCTGTGGTTGCTAGACCCCCCACTCCACCCCCACCCCCATCAACCTCAAGCAATCGATTCCCCCCCTCAGGGCCTTTCCAAACTTCAGGAGCTGGTACGGTACCACATCTACAACCATGGCCAGGTACTTCCTTCACAGTGTCCCCCGTTTCAGGGGCTACTGCAGATTTTGATCTCTCTGGGGGTTCAGTGTCCTCATCCTCCCTTCTCCATTTCTGGGGACTCAGCGTCACTGTGCATCACCTGTACAAGGTGTGGCCAGTATCCAATCTGAAACCACTCACTGTCTTCCTGCCCCAGCTGACGGTGGAGAAGCTCATCTCTAAGGGACGTGTCCTCACCATGGCCAACCAGGTCCTGACTGTGAATATCTCTGAGGAGGTGAGATCTGTGAACAGGTGCACACATGGATCAGAAGGCTGCAGGCCTTGTTCATGCCTGACAGCATGCTCCAAATACCGTAGTGGGCAGGACACTTGACAAGGTCCCAGCTGGGCTAGGAGAATAGACATAGGTCCCCCAAGTATGAAGTAAAGCTGCAGCAGACAAAAAACAGAGCAGCAAAGGCCGGCTGGGGATGGCATATGGGGTCTGTGTTGCAGGGGCGCATCCTGCTGGGACCTGAGGGCATCCCTGTGCGAAGAGTGGATGTGCTGGCTGCCAACGGTGTGATCCACATGCTGGAAGGCATCCTGCTGCCCCCCACCATCCTGCCTATCCTACCCCAGCACTGTGATGAAGAGCAACACCAGATTGTGCCAGTGAGTCCTGCCTTGAACCCAGGCTTCACCCTGTACCCAGATCCCTGCCCCTAGCACACGGACAGGAGAGAACGCTGTTGGGTTGCCATCATGGGATATTTGAGACTGGCTTATTTTGGCTCACGGTTCTGAATGCATGGTACAGTGACAGTTCAGCTCTTGCTGAGGGAGGGCCTTGTGGCACAAGGGCGGTTGGACATAGGTGAAGAGATCAGAGCGACAAGCATCCGACTCATTCCATCAGCTGCTGTGGTGATAAGCCTACCCTGCATGAGGGGAGCCTGGTGGCCCACCTGCCTCTACAGGCTTCCTCCCAACACCTTTCCTGGCCTTTCTACAGTTGGCTCTTTCTCCTTCTTCAGCTCTTTCCTTGATGTCTCTGACCCTTTCTCTCTGCCCTGCGCTGTTCTTCCCAGGGTACTTGTGTGGACTGCCAAGCCTTGAATGCCAGTGTATGCCCCCCAAACAGCGTGAAAATGGTGAGCACCCCTAGCCTTGCCCTCGGGGATCCCTTTTTGCCAGTATCCCAATCGTATGTCAGTTGCAGTGGGGAGTAGAGGCAGGGAGGCCAGACTATACCTGGAGGCTCAGTATGTCCTAAACCCACCTATTCTGCTGACTGACCTCATATGGTGTGTTCTAGGATATCTTTCCCAAGGAGTGTGTTTATACCCATGACCCAACTGGACTCAACATGCTGAAGAAGGGCTGTGCCCACTACTGCAACCAGACCATCACAGTGAGCCTGGGCAGGCCTGCACTCTCGGGGGACCCTGGCCACTTCCTCATTGTTTGGGGGATTCCCAAGTTGGGTTGAGAGGGGGGCTTCCCTTCCCAGGCATTCTTTTTGTTTAGTTTGGAAGGGTTTTTGTTGCTTTTTTTGTTTGCTTGTTTGTTCGTCTTTGTGTCCATGGTAGGACTAGAACCCAAAGCCTCACATACTAGGCAAGTGCTTTGCCGCTGAACTACGCCCCACATCCTAATGGTTAAAGAGGTGCCACTGGGGGATTCCTATCCATCCCTGTGCTCTCGAGATGAGGCCAGCAAGCAGAAGCATCCTATGTGGGATCTGGTATGGCCTGGATGCTCACACACGCTCTGTCTCTTGCAGAAACGTGGCTGCTGCAAAGGATTCTTTGGGCCTGACTGCACACAATGTCCTGGGGGCTTCTCCAACCCCTGCTATGGCAAAGGCAATGTGAGTCCCCACCCTGGTAGGTGTCATGAGGCTGATACCTTCCCTGGCTGGCAGTGTCAGAACCAGGCCTGACTCTCTCTTGTCTCGCCTTCCCCACTTTAAGTAGTTGATGTTGGACCAAACTGTTTTGCTAGAAATTATTGCTCCCGGGTCTAGAGAGATGGCTCCGTGGGGAGAGCACATGCTACCCTTGCAGAGGACTTGATTTGGTTATCAATACCCATGTTAGGTGGCTCATGACCACCTGATAATCCAGTGCTTCTGGCCTCCACCGGTTTCTGTACTCAGGTGCACACACACGCACACAATTATTTTCTGAGATAGGATTTCTACATAGCCCTGGCAGTCCTGGAACTCTTTCTATATCCCAGGCTGGCCTGGAACCCACAGAACCTGCCTTTGCCTCCCGAGTGCTGGAATTAAAGGTGTACGCCACCACGCCCAAATGCCAGTATTCTTTAGTATTCTGCTTTTGACACTTAGAGACGTCAGTGCTGCACTGAGTGTTTAGTGCCTGCACAGAAGAACTCAGGAGTTATTGTCTGAGCTACACATAAAACGTCCAGGGCCACTGGGTGGTGGTGACGCACGCCTTTAATCCCAGCACTTGGGAGGCAGAAGCAGGCGGATCTCTGTGAGTTCGAGTCCAGCCTGGTCTACAAGAGCTAGTTCCAGGACAGGCTCCAAAGCCACAGAGAAACCCTGTCTCGAAAAACCAAACCAAACAAAACAAAAGGTAGTGTGCCTTCAGTAGCTATCTGGCAGCTTGGCAGCTTAAGTGATTTTGGAGGTCTCTTACAGGGTGAAGTCTCAGGGAACAGGGGTTCAGAGCCCACCAGGAAGGGAGGTTCAGGGGGTCAGGGGGAGGGCCTGTGGTGACCATGTCCTTGACTGACCCATTTTGTGCCTGCCATCTGCCAGTGCAGCGATGGCGTCCAGGGCAATGGAGCCTGCCTCTGCTTTCCAGACTACAAGGGTATTGCCTGCCATGTCTGCTCCAACCCAAACAAGCACGGCGAGCACTGCCAGGAGGGTGAGTGACCGGGCCCAGGCCACCTCCCAGAGATAGAAGCTCTTAATGGAACGAAGGTGACTAAGGGCTCCCAAGGAGGAAGAGGGCCCTCAGCGGAATGCTGGCCCAGGGAGGGAGTAGTACCAGCTGGAGGACAGTCATAGATATTGCCTTTTTCACCAAAAGAAAACATGCCTTAAAGCAAGCACGTTTTAAACAAGACTGTCTCATAGTGGGATTGGACACAGAGTAGTTAGAATGATGTGACTAAAAATTCAAAGCTGGGCTATGGTGGCACCTACTTTCACTTCCAGCACTCTGGAGGCAGAGGCAGATGGATCTCTGAGTTCAAGGCCAGCCTGGTCTACAGAGTGAGTTCTAGGACAGCCAGAGAGCTACACAGAAAAACCCTGTCTTGAAAAAAAAAATGCCAGGTGGTGGCGGCGCACGCCTTTAATCCCAGCAGTCGGGAGGCAGAGGCAGGCAGATCTCTGTAAGTTCGGGGCCAGCCTGGCCTACAAGAGCTAGTTCCAGGACAGGCTCCAAAGCTACAGAGAGACCCTGTCTTGAAAAATCCCCCCCCCCCAAAAAGAAAAAACAAAAACAGTGACTGGAGAGATGGCTCAGTGGTTAAGAGCATTGCCTGTTCTTCCAAAGGTCCTGAGTTCAATTCCCAGCAACCAAATGGTGGCTCATAACCATCTGTAATGAGGTCTGGTGCCCCCTTCTGGCCTTTAGGCATACAAACAGACAGAATAATGTATACATAATAAATAAATAATATTTAAAAAAAGAAAAAACAAAAACAAAAAAATGGCCTCCTTCATAGTTTGCTTATCTGCTCTTCGAGTTTGAATGAGCTATGATTTAGGGACCCTAATAGAGGGTCAAATAACAAAGTCAAGTCTCTTAGCCACTCCATTCCCCAGCCCCTTTGCAAAACCAATCTTGGCTGGCATCAAGTTCTACTTCCTGTCCAATTTTTCTGTTCCCACTTCTTCCCCATAGACTGTGGTTGTGTCCACGGTCTGTGTGACAACCGTCCTGGCAGCGGAGGAGTGTGCCAGAGCGGCACATGTTCCCCTGGCTTCCAAGGCCGCTTCTGCAATGAGTCCATGGGACACTGCAGTCCCGGAGGGCTGGCTCAGCTCTGCCACCAGCATGCTCGCTGCGTCAGTCAGGAGGGGAAGGCCAGGTGAGGACTCTGCCTTCCTCTGTGTCCTGCCATAATGCTCCAGCCTCTTCCCCAAGCTCAAGTGGGCCTCTCCTCTCTATCCCAGGTGTATCTGCCTCGATGGTTTTGAAGGTGATGGCTTCTCCTGCACACGCAGCAATCCCTGCTCACACCCAGACCGTGGTGGCTGCTCAGAGAACGTCAGTTCCTCTCTTTACCCCTTTCTTAGTGTTCTGACCCAGACGCAGGATGGGGCTCCTTGGCCTCCACCCGTGGCCCTGTACCCGGAGTCACTTATTCATAACCCACACAGGCTGAATGTATCCCTGGAGACCTGGGCACCCACCGCTGCATTTGCCACAAAGGCTGGAGTGGGGATGGCCGCATGTGTGTGGCCATTGATGAATGTGGGCTGGACACTCGAGGTGGCTGTCATGTGGATGCTCTCTGCAGCTACGTGGGCCCTGGACAGGTGAGGAGCAGAAGGACAGCTGGGGACTAGCCCCCACCCACTCTGACTTCAGGAACATCTACTCCGAGCTCAGAGTCTGGACCCACAGGTGCAGACGAAGTCCTGCACCCTGATACTGGTCACTCGTCTGTTCCCTGCTCCATATGTGTTATAGGGCAAGCTCTCTCCTAGACTGGGGAATATGATACCAAGCAAGGCAAGAGGAAACCTGCCTCTAGAGGTCCCACACTTCTAGAATAATCTACAGTAATCTATCTCTGGAACTTCACAGTCTAGGCTCAAATTACTTGTTGTGGGATCTTAAAGCATTTTTGAGGTTCATGAACCCGAGTTCTGGCAAGTGTTCAAAAATATCTAATATGAGTCGGGTGGTGGTGGTGCACGCCTTTAATCCCAGCACTTGGGAGGCAGAGGCAGGCGGATCTCTGTGAGTTCGAGGCCAGCCTGGTCTACAAGAGCTAGTTCCAGGACAGGCTCCAAAACCACAGAGAAACCCTGTCTCGAAAAACAAAAAACAAAAAACAGCAAAAAAAATATCTAATATGGAGTCAGGTGATGGTTGTGGCCTTTAATCCCAGTACTCGGGAGGCAAAGGCAGGTGGATCTCTGTAAATTCGAGGCCAGCCTGGTTTACACGAGCTAGTTCCAGGACAGGTTCCAAAAGTATAGAGAAATCCTGCCTTGCAAAACCAAAATAAATAAATAAATGAAGGAAGGAAGGAAGGAAGGAAGGAAAAAAGAAAGAAAGAAAGAAAGAAAGAAAGAAAGAAAGAAAGAAAGAAAGAAAGAAAGAAAGAAAATTAAAAAAAATCTAGCATGGACCGGGCACAGTGGTGCACGCCTTTAATCCCAGCAGAGGGAAGCAGACCTTTGTGAGTTTGAGGCCAGCTTGGTGTGCATAGAGAATCTCAGAACAGTCAGGGCTACATAACAGACCCTGTTTCAAAATAAAACAAAAGAATATCTAAGGTGGGGGCAGAGAGCTGGCTCCATGGTTAAGAGCACTGTGGCTCTCGCAGAGGACTGGGTTAGGTTCCTCGCATCCGTACGGCAGTTAACAACTGTGTAGCTCCAGTTCCAGAGGATCTGATGCCTTCCTCTGGCCTCTGCAGGCACTACATGCATGCAGTGCACAGACACAATGCAGGCAAAACTCCCATATAAATTAAGCACAAATAAACCTGGGTTGAAGAGAAGGCTCAGTGGTTAAGAGTTCTGGCTGCTCTTACTAAGAACCCAGGTGATTCCCAGCACCCACAAAAAGCAGTTCACAATTGTCTGTAACTCTGGTCACCGGGGATTCAGTGCCCTTTCTGGGCCTCCACAGGTACCAGACACGCACATGGTGTACACATACATGTAGGCAAAATATCCATGCATGTAAAATAATTTTACATACATAAATATTTTTTAAAGAATATCTACTGCATTAGCAGGAAGGTTAGGTTGGCTGGCTCAGAGTCAGCCCCTTCACGGCCCTGTTCTTTCAATTCTGTGGTGGCCTCCGGGTCAGCAGTCTGTAGAGTATTGTCAATACAAAAATCAGACTGAAATAAGGGGTAAAGCCCTGAATTCCATCCAGAGCCTTGAACTCTGTAGGAGCTTGGGAGCACTCAGGAGGCAGAAGCAGGGATCTCACATTCAAGACCAGGCTGGATTACATAACCAGACCCTGTGAAAGGAAGAAAGGAAAGAAAGATTAAAAAAACTCAGAACTGGGGTTTTGAACGCTTAGATATAGATGCCCCCCACCCACAACAGTTGCTATCAGGGAAGAGGGTCTTACTTGTGCTTACTTGCAGTGTAGACAAGCCCAAAGGCCTGTCCATTAGGGGAAGAGACCAGAACAGTTGACTGGGTGACAGGGAAGGAGGTGGGATCCCAGTGCCCTTCCAGGGGCTGGTCTTGGCCAATCCCTGCCCACTTGCCACAAGACACTGACCTCAAGCCAATGACCTTGAAAGGTTCTGAGTCTAGGGTGGTGTTGAGTCTCCACAGAAGCATCCAGCCAGTACCATCTCTTGATCAGTCTTAACCCCGAGAGCTGATTTCTCCTTGGGGTTCCAGAGCACAGATCCCCAAGGACAAGACAGCAAGAGCTCGCCTGGGGTGTGGGCCGATCTCCTTGGGATCAGAGGAGGAGATGGGGTCCGTGGTGTGGGATAAAATTCTGTTACTTCCTCCCCAGAGTCGATGCACATGCAAGCTGGGCTTTGCTGGAGACGGCTACCAGTGCAGCCCCATCGACCCCTGCCGGGTGGGCAACGGTGGCTGCCATGGCCTGGTAAGAGGGGACAAGGGCTTTGAGGCCCTGGGGAGGCTCTCTGGGGAGGGCTGGTTGCAGCGGGGCATGTCTGTCCTTAGCACTTGTATCTCCCTAAATTCCAAACCATGACACCACTCCCTCATTCTATCACAGGACAAAGCCCTTGTGCTATGTTATTAAGGCCTTGGACCCTCCTAGAGCCTCTCAACCTGCCCAGCTCCTCTCACTGCCCCATGCCACCCCGTTCCTTGTTCCTCTGGCCCCGCCTAGTTCCTTGCTGTCCCTTGACTTTCATACCCCACAGTATCTGCCTTTCCCAGACACTCCTCAGGCCTTGCCCCTCCTGCTTTCAAAAGCTCAGGCTCCTGAGGTCAGGGTTACCTTTGTGGCCATATAGCGCTGGCTCCCCGAGTCTCTACTGGTGGGATGATCCCACATCGAGTGCTCTGTGGTACTGGAGCAGGGCTACTGAAAGGGCTTTGTGAACACAGGCAGGATAATTTAGTGGCTGCACAGGTAAAGGGTGGGGAATGGGTGATAACGGAAGGAGAAAAAGACGAGAGTAGATGGTATCCAGCTTGGTGTTTGGATGATGGATGGATGGAGGCCACTAACTGTCTGTTCCTCACCTCTACCAGGCTACTTGCCAGGCAGTTGGGGGAGGTCAGCGGGTTTGTACATGCCCCCCTCATTTTGGTGGTGATGGCTTCAGTTGCTATGGAGACATCTTCCAGGTACGTGGTGCACAGATTTGTTCTCTCCCTGTGTCTGTGCCATCCTCCCATGTCCCCATGGAGAAGGGGATGCTTGGGGACTTGAATTTGTTCTTGGGTCTATGACCTCAGCTTTTTTCCCCCTGCTCCTTAGGAACTGGAGGCAAATGCTCACTTCTCTGCCTTCTCCCAGTGGTTCAAGGTAGAGACAGGGTTGGGCTCATGTCTCTAAGGCCTTCTTGGATTCAGGAATGCTACCTAGAACTTCCAAGAGTCACCTTCATCTCCCTGTTCCCACTCACTGTGTGCAGAATTCAAGTGTCACTCTTCCTGCTGGCAGCAGAGTCACCGCCCTGGTACCTTCTGAAGCTGCCATCCGTAGGCTGAGCCGTGAGGACCAGGCCTTCTGGCTGCAGCCAAAGATGCTGCCAGAATTGGTCAGGTGGGACAGCTGGGAAGGGCCTGGGCCATGGAAGGGATTCCGGGTGAGACCCTGGACCCTTCCTAGACAGGATGGAGAGGATTCAGTTCTTTGTTTACCATGTATCTACAAAAAAGGGGAGAGCCCAGGCTTAAGGTTCAGTGTCCCCCAACTGTTCCCCATAGGGCCCATTTTCTCCAGGGTGCCTTCTCAGAGGAGGAGTTGGCCCGGTTAAGTGGACAACAAGTAGCCACACTGAGCCCCAAGATACATTGGCAGATACACAACATCAGCGGGGTAAGAGCTGAACGCTGGGCATGTCCCACAGTGGCTTTCTCCCAATACCTAGGCTCCCAGGAAAAAAAGGTTGGGGTTGCCCAGGGCTGATTCAGAGACTACGCACGGGACACATAGTTGTCTCATTAGAAGTAGTGTGTGCCAGCGCATGTAACCCTGCCCCTCTTTATGTGGGTACTAGTGATGGTCTATGCACCTACCTGGTAGAACCTGAGGCCTGGTAGAGCCCGGTGGGGTGTCTCTTACACCATGTATCAGTGACCAACTAGAGTAAGCTCTGTCTGCTGCCTTCCAGAAAGTCTGGGTGCAGAATGTCAGTGTGGACGTACCCGACCTCCTAGCTACCAATGGCATCCTACACATTATCAGCCAGGTATGGCAGGAGAAGGGAGCGTGGGGAACCTCCTGGGCCACGCTGGACGGACTTATAGCCCCTCCTGCTCTATACCAGGTCTTGTTACCTCCAAGAGGTGATGTGCAGACTGGGCCAGGGTTGCTGCAGCAGCTAGATAGGGTGCCTGCCTTCCACCTCTTCAGGGAGCAGCTGAAGGTAAAGGGGGCTCATTCAAGGGGAGTGAGTTCCCAGGAGGCTGCAGGGGTCTGGCTGGCTCCCCGCATCAGGACTGAGGGCTGCCGTACTCATCCTTGCTCCCTGTCTCTATTCCTAGCATCACAAACTGGTGGCCCAAATTGAGGCTGCCAAAGCCTACACCATCTTTGTGCCCACAAATCACTCTCTGGAGACCCAGGGCAACAGCAGTATCCTGGTGAGGCCTTGGGGATGGGCAGGATGATGGCATGATGCTCAGGACCCTTGAGAGTCTTGGAAACCCTGAAGTGACTCCTCCCTGGCAGGACATAGACATAGTCCGGCATCACGTGATCCTTGGGGAGGCACTCTCCGTGGAGGTCCTGCGGAAAGGAGGACACCGGAATTCGCTTCTGGGTCCCGCCCACTGGCTGGTCTTCTACAATCACAGCGGCCAGGTTTGAAGGGCAGGGATTAGGAGACTCTTCCCCCAGGAAGTCTTAGGACCTGCCTTTGAAGTTTTCCCACCAAGGAGACCCTAGCCTCTGGTCTAGAAAGACTGCCCTTCCATTCTTGGAGCTACCCCCAGTCCTGGAGTGTGTTCTTATCTTGTTGCTTCTAAGAGGGAGGCTAGTGGGAGTGGGTAGGCAGACCCAACCTGCTGTCTTCCGTTGCAGCCCGAGGTGAACCACATGCCACTGGAGGGGCCCTTTCTGGAGGCTCCTGGCTGCTCCCTCTTTGGTTTGGCAGGGATCTTGACAGTGGGGTCCAGCCGCTGCCTACACAGCCACGCAGAAGCTCTTCGGGTAAGAAGCTGGCGCCAGAGGGATGTTAAAGATAAGCAGCTGCAGGGGCTGGAGAGGTGGCTCAGCAGTTAAGAACACTGGCTGATCTTCTAGAGGTCCTGAGTTCAATTCCCAGCAGCCACATGGTGGCTCACAACCATCTATAATAGGATCTGATGCCCTCTTCTGGCCTGCAGAACAGTCATACATAAAATATACATAAATAAATTTAAAAAAAAAAGATCTGCAGCTGGGAGTGGTGACATACACCTTTAATCCCAGAACTCTAGGAGCTGAGGCAGGCAGATCCTTTCTTAAACATCAGGCCAGTCAGGGCTACATAGTGAGACCTTGTTTCAAAAACAAAAGTGAAACCCACAAGCAGCAGCTGCGGCTTGGTCTGAGTAGCAGGAACACTTGGCTAGTCTGTCCTGGACCAACTGATACCTTGCCCTTCTTCTCCAGGAGAAATGCATAAACTGTACCCGGAAATTCCGCTGCACTCAAGGCTTCCAGCTGCAGGTGATGCTGGGCTCAGTACAACCCCGTACTTACTTCCATGTCCTCACTAAAGTCCTAGGTTCAGCCCTGCTGGGAACTGGCCCACGATGGGCAGGGGCAACTCCCGGTTAAGGCTGAACCACAGCCCTGGTCTGCTCAGGGGAGCTTCATTGTCTCCCTAGTCCTGATCCCTCTGCCGTCCCCTCATCAGGCCCGTCTGTCTTGGCCTCTACCTCTCCCCTCTACTACCCTCATGCTTGTCAGTGGACTTCCAGCACAGTTATTTATCTCCCTCCAACCACCCTGTCTCTTCCCAAGCCGGCAGGTGACCCTTCCTGTGTGTCTCCAATTCTAGGACACACCTAGGAAGAGCTGTGTCTACAGATCTGGCTTTTCTTTCTCCCGGGGCTGTTCCTACACGTGTGCCAAGAAGATCCAGGTTTGCTCCGAGGTGTCCCCTGCTAAGGCTTTGCCACTTTGCCCAGGAAGGAGAGCGGAGTAGGCCCAGGGAAAGAGTTCAGACTGAATTTCAAGGACAGAGATGCTGAGCCTCCAACAAAGACAGCAAAGCTAGGGCTGGAGAGATGGCTCAGAGATTAAGAGCACTGACTGCTCTTTCAGAGGTCCTGAGTTCAAGTCCCAGCAACCACATGATAGCGCATAACCATCTGCAATGAGATCTGGTACCTTTTTCTGGAATGCAGGCATGTATGCATACATACATACAGGCATGTATGCAGACCGAACACTGCATATATAATAAATACATTTTTAAAAAAGACAGCAAAGCAAGGGTCTTAGGACTGTCCAAAATCGGAGGGCTACTGTTGTTCCTGTGTTTAACCCCTGGAGAACGGATGTGAGAGATACAGAGTTGAATCCCAGAGCTGGCACCATCAGCCAGCGCAGTACTGAGGCTTTCTTGTTTCTTCTGTGCAGCCCATGGAGTTGTCACTCTCCCTTGTTTGAGTCTACCCCCACCAGGGGAGGGTTGTGGAAGGCAGCCCCCACATCCCCTGAGGGTTTTGGTCTGCCCTCCCTGGGTCTGTGCTTCCATTTTGCTCCGTTTGGTGACCCTGAGATGTAACCATCTCTTCCTGGCTAATGACATCCATCCCGGCCTACCCTGGGCCTCTCTCCTCCCCTTCCCATTCCCCTACCCCTACAGGTACCCGACTGCTGCCCAGGCTTCTTTGGCACACTGTGTGAACCATGCCCAGGGGGTGTAGGTGGAGTATGCTCAGGCCATGGGCAGTGCCAAGACAGGCTCCTGGGCAGCGGGGAATGCCGCTGTCAAGAGGGCTTCCACGGAACAGCCTGTGAGATGTGTGAGCTGGGCCGCTATGGACCCACCTGCTCCGGAGGTGAGGTCTGCAGAGAGTAGGGTGGGGGCCCTTGGGAAAGGGAGCAGACTGGGTACTACACCGTGTACCCAGAGCAAAGTAACTCCTGTCCTTCGTTGTCCCACTTCCAGTATGTGACTGTGACCATGGGCTGTGCCAGGAGGGGCTGCGAGGGAACGGAAGCTGTGTCTGTAATGTTGGTTGGCAGGGTCTCCGCTGTGATCAAAGTAGGTCCCAGGAGGTTAGGGTCAAGTGACAACAGGGGAACAATTCTGCTCCGAATGACCAGAACCTTCTGTCTACTCCTAGAAATCATCAACCCTCAGTGTCCCAAGAAGTGTGATCCCAATGCCAAGTGAGTGAGCCCAGCCTGTGGTGGGGTGACTGTGGGCAGGACAGGGCAGACAGGCTAAGTGGCTGCCATCCCTCCCAGCTGCATACAGGACGCCACTGGAATCCCCACCTGTATCTGTGCTGCAGGATACTCAGGCAACGGCAGTTATTGCTCAGGTTGGCCATCCGGATGCCCTGCGTCCCACTCTGGAATGCTTGGGGTGGCTGTCCCACAGTCTCTCTAACCTTTTCCTTATCTCCTGTCTGTCTCACAACCTCTGTCCCTAGAGGTGGACCCATGTGCTGCTGGCCATGGGGGCTGCTCGCCCTACGCCAACTGCACCAAGGTGGCTCCGGGGCAGCGGACGTGTACCTGCCAGGAGGGCTACACAGGCGACGGAGAGCTGTGCCAGGGTGAGGTGCCCCCAGATAGATGCATGTGAGGGCAGGCCATGCAGATGGGCGGGGGAGGGGGTCATCAGGGCTATTCCTCATCTCGGCCTTTCTTCCCCTAGAAATAAACAGCTGTCTCACCCGCCATGGGGGCTGCCACATTCACGCTGATTGCATCCCCACGGGCCCTCAGCAGGTCAGTTGACAGGCTTAACACTGGGGCCTCCGTTCAGACTACTAGGTCTGGGGTGGCCCTGCCGTTCGGGGCCCCTTGCAGCCACAATGATCAGGATTTGCGACAGGTCTCTTGCAGCTGCCGTGAGGGCTACAGTGGTGATGGCATCCAGACTTGCAAGCTTCTGGACCCCTGCTCCCAGGTTAGAACCTTATAACCTAGCGCATTTGTCGAGAGAAGGCACTGAGACCAGACACAGCTCTCCTCACCCCTAGGATGGCCCCAGGACCTCCCAACCCCTAGCTCTAGTCGGATTCAACAGCAGAAATAAAACTGTGAGGGGCAACCAGGGACTTTGAGGCATCCTTCCTAAGGCTGGTCTTTCAGAGGTGGCAGGACGCCACCACAGCCTTCCTCTTCTATCCAGAACAATGGCGGCTGCAGCCCTTATGCTGTGTGCAGAAGCACGGGGGATGGACAGAGGACGTGTACCTGCAACCCAAGTCATACCGTGGGAGATGGGATCACCTGCCATGGACGAGTTGGATTGGTAATGATGCCCAAGTCTGACCCAGGCTTGACTGTGGCTATGCCCGACACAAACCTGAACCCCAATCTAGGCTAAGATCCCAGATTCAATTCTGATCCTTGACTATGACCCCATGACCCTGAATCTGACCCCTAATTCTTCCTGGGCTAAACCTCATCTGCATCACATGCAAACAATCCTGGCCCCAGATCAGAACCCTCCCTGGCTTTCCTTTCCTCATCTCTGCCTTGGCCAGACCTTGGTGGGGAGCACCCAAAATCTGAACTGATCCTTGCTCCCCCAGGAGCTCCTACGGAACAAGCACGCTTCATTCTTCAGCCTCAACCTCATGGTGAGCAGCCAGCCCAGCCTTTGAGGCCTGCTGGGCAGATGCCAACCTGCTCTGGACCTCTATGTTCCCATCTGATTGGCTGGGGGTGGGGGGAGTTGGCTGGCATGGACTCTTCAGAATTTCAGTTTTTCCCAGATCATCAGACGTTCCAAGTTGGTCCCAGATTGTTCCCTTTCCACTCACGTTGTGTCCTGCCTCCCCAGGAATACAAGGAGCTCAAGGGTGATGGGCCTTTCACCATCTTTGTGCCCCATGCTGATTTAGTGAGCAACGTGTCCCAGGTATACAGCCCTGGGAGAAGCTGGGAGAGAGATGAGTGCTCTGGTCACAGCACGGGCAGAGGTGACAGTCATTGGCTCCCACTGTCTCCCTGACTCTGTGCTAGGACGAGCTGGCTAGGGTCCGCGCCCATCGCCGGCTGGTATTTCGCTACCACGTGGTTGGCTGCCGGCAGCTGGGGAGCCAAGACCTGCTGGACCAGGAATATGCCACGGCACTGTCTGGGCACACGCTGCGTTTCAGTGAGAAGGAGGTGAGCTCTCACATCATTGGTCCTACTGGCTATAGAGTCTTCCTGCAGGATTCAACCCCCAGCTCAGCCCCCTTCAAACTGTCCCTGTGCCCCTGCCTCCATTCCTTTACTACTCAGCCTGGATCCAAATGGGAGGGAGTGGAGGTCCGGCCCAGAGAATACCCACACCCAGGGCCCTCCCTGTCAGCACTGGCCTGGCCCAAGCCCGGATTCCCAAGTCAAGCTGATACCAGCATCATGCTCCCACGATACCAGGCCTAGTGTGGTTCCTTGTACAAGCTTCTCATAGTGATTCTGCCCTCGCCTGACTCATCTTCTACCTCAGTCCAAAGCCCAGCACTGTCTACCAAAAAAAACTCTCCCCACCTCAAGCCCTGCTCTGGCCTAGGCACACCCCTTAGCTTCAATTCCAACCTCAGCTTTGCCCCATGCAACCAAGGACCTCCCACAGGGCAGCATTTATCTCAATGACTTCGCTCGGGTGGTAAGCAGTGACTATGAGGCCATGAATGGCGTCCTGCACTTCATTGACCGTGTTCTGCTGCCACCGGATGTGCTGCACTGGGAGGCTGACACTGTCCCCGTCCCTCGGGTACGGCTGGGCAAGAGCCTGGGACTAGGTGGCAGGCTGGGATCCTCTCTTCCTGCCTGACCATGTGACCCACGCGTGCTCTTTCCCAGAGAAACATCACCGCCGCTACTGAAAGCTTTGGTTACAAGATCTTCAGCCGCCTAGTCACGGTACTGCTCTCATGAATGCGGGCCTGCCAGTGTGTGCGCATGCGTGTAGCAGTATGCATGCTTTCCTCTTTCTGGGAACGAATGTGCCTATGGGAATTTCCTTGTACCATGTAAGAGCCTCTCGGTGTGGATACACGTGAGGAAGTGTGCAGCCAAGGTGTGTGGAGACTTTTCCCTGCAAGTGTGCCCATAAACAGTAGCTCCCCTACCTACAATTTCAATTCATAGTCAACAATGTTGGCAAGATGGCTCAGTGGGTGACAGTACTTGCTACCACACCTGACAACACTGGGACCCACGCAGCAGGAGAAGAGTGACTCCTGCAGGGTCTCCATGGGTGCAGCTGCAAGCATGCTCCCTCGTCCATGTCACACATACACACACACACACACACACACACACCAAAACAAAAACCAACCAGGTTAAGTATAATAAAAATATTAAATTGAAAAGCCCTAGAAATATCTCACGTTTTAAATAACTTTTATTATGGTGTATTGTTTCAATTTTATCGTTCCTCTCTCTCCTCTCAAGACAGGGTTTCTCTGTGTAGTCCTGGCTGTTCTAGACCAGGCTGGCCTTGAACGCAGAGATCCGCCTGCCTCTGCCTTCTGAGTGCTGAGATTAAAGGCGTGCGCCACCACCTCCTGGCTAGTTTTCATCCCTTATTGTAACTAGTTTATAAATAACCCTTTATCACAGGTAGAAGAAAGCAGTATATATATATATATATACATATATATATATATATATATATATATATATATATATATAGTTCATAAATACATGGTTCATATGTATGGGTCACTGTAATTTAAGGCATCTGCTGGGGCCTTGGGACCAATTCCCTGCAGATGAGGGGATGATCGTCCACCCAGGACTGCAGAAAAGCGTGGCTAGTTATCTGGGCCGGGTTTCTCTGCATCTTCTGGCTTCTGGGGTCCAGCCTCATCTCTAACTGTCACACCTTTGCTCCGCCCCCACAGGTGGCTGGTCTTCTGCCCGTGCTTCAGGATGCAACTCATCGTCCCTTCACTATGCTGTGGCCCACAGATTCCGCCCTGCAAGCCCTGCCTCCTGACCGGCAGAACTGGCTCTACCATGAGGACCACCGTGACAAACTGGCAGCCATTCTTCGGGGTCACGTGATCCGCAACATTGAGGTGGGCACAGACCCGTCTTTGGTCCCTACTGCCTGCATGCCCAACTCCAATCATGTCTTCATTTTTTTAGGCCTTGGCATCTGACCTACCCAACCTGGGCCAACTCCGAACCATGTATGGAAACACTATCTCTTTCTCCTGCAGTCGTGCTCGGCCTGTGAGTCTGGGGAGAGAGCTTGGTTAAGGACAACAACAGGGGCAGGGCAGTGAGGGGCTGCAGTGCCCATGTTCCCTACATCTTCCCCTTTAGGGTGAGCTCCTGGTAGGTGAAGACAACACCCGCATTGTGCAAAGACACTTGCTCTTTGAAGGGGGCGTGGCTTATGGCATTGATCAGCTGCTGGAGCCACCCGGCCTTGGTGCCCGCTGTGATCGTTTTGAGACCCAGACACTTCAAATGGTGAGGAAGGCCACGGGCCACAGGTGCATGGCAGGGGCCCAGCCTACCTGTCCTGTCCTGTGCACCCACCTGACCCTGCAGTGTTGACCTCCATCCCCTCCAGAAGACTTGCAGTGTCTGTGGGCTGGAGCCACCCTGTCCTCGGGGCTCACAGGAGCAGGTAAGGGCCTAGAGGCTGAGAGGAGGGTTGAGGGGAGGGGCCGAGCACCATCAAGCTCAGGCTGGCTGTGGCCTGACTCCTTTTGACCCAGGGCAGCCCCAAGTCCTGCTGGCGTGATTACTCCAAGTTCTGGGCAACCCCACTACACTCCCTGACAATGCGTGGTGGAGCCTGGATACAGCCTAGTTTTTGGAACCACCATCGACTGGGTAGGGGCTGCCACCGAAACTGTGTCACAGTCATCTGGAAGCCCAGCTGCTGCCCTGGTCACTATGGCATTGACTGCCAAGGTAAGCATTCTGAGAGCAGCGGACAAGCTGACCAGCTCCTCTAGCCTCCAAGATGGCCAGAATCAAAGCTCTGGCTATTGCCCTTTAAGAAAGGATTTTGGGGTGCTCTAGGGTAGGGGAATGCTTCAAATGCATGAGGGTAGGTGTACAGAAGATTCATAATCTGGCACGGAGTTCTGAAGGCTCTGGGCATTCTCTGGGGTCTGATGGGGGTCTCAGGGCTGTGAGGACACAGGTGAACTGACACTTCTTGAAGAGCCTTGGCTGGCACTCAGTAGGGGAACAGACGGCAGATCCCAGGATGCAGGTATGTGGGTGTTCTCATGGGAGCCTCTGGTCCCTTCCCCTACGCTATTCCCTAGCTTGCCCTGGTGGCCCCAAAAGCCCCTGCAGTGATCACGGTGTGTGTCTGGATGGCATGAGCGGAAGTGGGCAGTGTAAATGCCACTCGGGTTTTGCTGGGACAGCCTGTGAATTATGTGCCCCAGGTACCTTTGGACCCCAATGCCAAGGTATGTCATCTCTGTCTTGTCCCATTCGATCTCGCCCCACTTCCTTTGCCCTGTGTGTCAACTTGTCCTTCTCCCCAGTTTGCCACTGCAGCCCACATGGACGTTGTGATGAAGGCCTTGGGGGCTCTGGCTCCTGCTTCTGTGATGAAGGCTGGACTGGGCCACACTGTGAAGTGCAGCTGGGTGAGTAGCCCTTGAACCTGGGCTGCTGTGCATTTGTGCACACACTGGCCGCACACCCCTCCCCCTAACTGCACACTCAGGTGGAGGCTCCTATGGTGGGTGGGAGGGGCAGCGGCTAGGAGGGGAGCTACTGACGTGATCTTATGGGATGGGTCCTGGGGACAGAGTTGCAGCCCGTATGTACCCCACCCTGTGCAACCCAGGCCGTGTGCCGTGTGGGCAACAGCTGTGAGTGCAGCCTGGGCTATGAAGGGGACGGCCGTGTGTGCACAGGTAAGCAGGAGGCTGTGAGTTGCTGGTAAGAAGTCCTGGACCCACCCTAGGTATGCGGCTCAACCACTCCTTCCTTGCCCCCAGTGGCAGATCTGTGCCGGAAGGGGCATGGCGGCTGCAGTGAGCATGCCAACTGCAGCCAGGTGGGGACAATGGTCACTTGCACCTGTCTGCCTGACTATGAGGGCGATGGCTGGAGTTGCCGAGCTCGCAATCCCTGCCTGGACGGCCACCGTGGAGGCTGCAGCGAGCATGCTGACTGCCTCAACACTGGTCCGGTAAGCAGGTCCCGGGGAGCGGAGTAGTCTGGGTGTAGAGGCCTCACAGCCCACTCCTCCAGTCTCTGTGAGCATCCACTGCTCTCTCTGCCCACAGAACACACGGCGCTGTGAATGCCATGTAGGCTATGTGGGTGACGGACTGCAGTGTCTGGCGGAGCTTAAGCCACCTGTGGACCGATGCATGAGCAAATCAGCTCCCTGCCACAGAGACGCTCTGTGCACTGACCTGCATTTCCAGGGTATGCTTCCTTACCCACCTCCAACCCACTGTAGTATCCCCGGTTACTGTCCTGTCAATCATACACCCTCCCTTCTTCCTGCAGAAAAACGGGCTGGTGTCTTCCATATCCAGGCCCCCAGTGGCACTTATGGCTTGACCTTCTCAGAGGCCAGGGAAGCCTGTGAGGACCAGGGAGCAGCCCTTGCTTCGCTCCCCCAGCTCTCTGCTGCCCAGCAGGTGCACAGGGCTCAAGGGTAGGAGCTAAGCCTATGGAAGCCCATTGAGTTGGGCTCTGGTCTCAGCATCTCCTCTTGCCCCTACAGCTGGGTTTTCATGTCTGCTTCATGGGCTGGTTGGCCAATGGCTCTGCTGCCCACCCTGTCGTCTTCCCAGCGGCAGACTGTGGTGATAATCGTGTAGGTGTAATCAGCCTCGGGGTCCGCAAGAACCTTTCGGAGCGCTGGGATGCCTACTGCTACCGTGTGCAAGGTACGTCCAGTCTACCCACCTCTGCCTACCCCAACCCCTGATTTCCCCAATACTCCTCTCTAAGCTGACATGCCTTCCCTCCCTGCAGATGTGGCTTGCCAATGTCGGGCCGGTTTTGTGGGTGACGGGATCAGCACATGCAACGGAAAGCTGCTCGAAGTCCTGGCTACCACCGCCAACTTCTCTACCTTCTATGGGGTGTGCAGAGGTCTAGCCTCAGAAGTGGGAATGTAGGCAGTTGGGATCCCCAAGGAGAAAGCTTGTCCACACCCCATCTTCCCCACCCTAGATGTTGCTGGACTATGCCAATGCCACCGAGCGAGGTCTGGATTTTCTGGACTTCTTGGATGATGAGAGCTCCTTCAAGACACTCTTTGTTCCTGTCAACGAAGGCTTTGTGGACAATATGGTAACAGCAGGGGCTTGGGTACAGCTTGCGCTCTCTGGTGGGCCTAACCCAACAGACCTTGCTCTGTTCTGTTCATAGACGCTGAGTGGCTCGGACCTAGAACTCCACGCTTCCAATGCCACCTTTCTGAGTGCTAATGCCAGTCAGGGGACATGGCTTCCTGCCCACTCAGGACTTAGCCTCTTCGTAAGAGATGAAGGCCCTGACAACAGTTCTAGGGTCCCTCTGGTGAGTCTGGCCTTACCAGTACCCTCCTGGCTCAACCTTGCTTACCTGGGGGCCTGACTACAGTTTCTCCACAGACCCCGGGAACAGTTGTGGTCAGCCACATCCTCGTGTGGGATATCTTGGCTTTCAATGGTATCATTCACGCTCTGGCCAGCCCCCTGCTCACGCCGCCACCACAGTCTGTGAGTGGGCAGAAGTGGGAGACAGAGCCTCAAGGGGGAGGGGCCATCTCTGGCCTGGTCCTTCACACTCACCCCCTTTTTGCTTACAGAGGCCGGTGCTGGGACACAAGCCTCAACCTGTGGCACTAAGCATGGGGATCGTGGTAGCTTCTGGAACACTGCTGGGGCTGGTAGCTGGAGCCCTCTACCTGCGCGCCCGAGGCAAGCCCACAGGCTTTGGCTTCTCTGCCTTCCAGGTAAAGAGGGGTTGGGGGTATGGGGACAGGGTCCTTCTGTCATGTGTGGGGGCCTTACCAGTCACAGCCCCTCTTCTAGGCAGAAGATAATGCCGATGATGACTTCTCCCCGTGGCAAGAAGGGAGCAGCCCAACCCTGGTTTCTGTCCCCAACCCTGTCTTTGGCAGCAATGATGCCTTTTGTGAGCCCTTTGATGTGAGTGTGGGGTGGGAAGTGTGGCTGGAGGGGGGTGGGGACAGGCCCTGGGCTTAGCCTTACTTGGCTGCACCCCACCTCCCTCTGCAGGATTCGCTCCTGGAGGAGGACTTCCCTGATACCCAGAGGATCCTCAAGGTCAAATGACGGTCTGGAATGGAAGCAGAGGCACATGGAAGGACAGAGAGAGCACTTTTATTGCTTGTCAGGATGGCTGGGGCTAAAAGAACGGATGGTCTGTCTAGGACAATAAAAGTGCCCTCAGCGGATGTGGGCCATGTCGCCAAGAAAAGGTGTCTTCATGCATCCAGTGCAGAGCTGGTCCATCCAGAGGGGCGCCTCGTGCTGCAGGGGTGTTCGACGTGGGTAAAATGTGAAGTCCACACGGTAGTTGAGCAGACAGCTCAGAGAGGCCATGTAGAGGTCAGAGAAGCGCACGAGGCGCCTGGAGAAGTAGGTGGGGTTGTGGAAGGTGCGGAAGATGCTCCCAAACTGTGCGTTGAATAGGGCCTTGGTGATGCATCTGGGGAGAGAAACAGGGCGCACATCAATGCGCGGAGAAAAAGCTGGGGCAGGGTCCCTGTCGTGGCCCCGGGCCTGCTCACCTCAGCTCTTGCCGCTCCTTCATCCAAGTAGCCAGCACCTGTCGCGACTCTGCATCCTGATAGGTCTGGGGTAACACAATGGGTAAACACGATTTAGGAGGTGCAGCCCCAACTCCAATTTACCCTAAGCCCTCCCGTTGTTCCTACCTGCATGCGTTCCAGCAGCCCGGTGAGCGCCTGCTGCCAGGTCAGCGAGTGCATGTACTGTTCCGTGTTGATGATGCGGATCTCGCGCTCCAGCTCAGGGATGATGGCTCCCGTGCGCCAGCCATGCCGCAGCATGAGATCCTAGTGGAAGGGATGGGAGGCAGACCTTAGCACCAGCTGGCAGGGCTCCCTCCTTCCCCTGGGAAAAAGCTCCCCACCCCTCACCGCCAGGTCACTGTAGAGGTGGTCACCGAAGTAGAGCACACGTGGCCCTCGCCATTCTGTCAGTCGAAGAAAGTCAAACAGGTTTCCCTGGGGAGTGGAGGACACTGCTGAGCCAACTGTGCTCCCTTGACTGTGGGAGCCTGCCTGGCTTTGTCACCAGTCTTCCCGGCTCTCCCGAGGCAGCCAAAGCCAGCCGGATGCTGGGCTGCCCTTTCCCGTGGCCTCCCTGCTCCATGGCCCTTACTACTTCTCCCTTCCAAGAGAAAAGGGGGGCAGGGCTGCTTGCAGCAGAACATCTCTTGTAGGGGTGGATTGGCCCTCACTCAAGGGCCTTTTCCAATGACCTTTCACCCACCCAGATAAGGGCGTTAATCCCTGTTTGTGAGAAACCACAAGGCCCTAGAGCAAAGAGCCCTGAAATTCTTGTGAACCTCCTCAGTCTCCACCCACAGAGCCCTGTGGACCACCTACAGAGCGCACTGGAAAGCTATGTGCTTTTCTGCTCCAAGGCCAGGGAAAGATGACACCACCAAGGGACAACCATGACTGAGGACGCTTCGGGGGGTAGGGGTTGGGGTGGAGTGGCCAGAGTTGGGAAGTACAGGGGTGCCCAGAGGTGAGCACACAGCACAGCACAGTTCATAGAGCAACTCGCAACAGTGAGCCTCAGAGAGATGGGAGCTAGGGGTGGCATCCAAAGGGCAGTGGAGGACATGGCCCCTAGATCAAGAATCTCAAGGGGAAGCTGGGTAGTGGTGGCGCATGGCTTTAATTCCAGCACTCGGGAGGCAGAGGCAGGCGGATCTCTGAGTTGGAGGCCAGCCTGGTCTACAGAGTGAGTTCCAGGACAGGCTCCAAAGCTACAGAGAGAAGCCCTGTCTCGAAAAACAAAACAAAACAAATAAAAATAATCTCAAGGGGCAGATGAAGGAGAGACGCAGGGAAGGGCTCCTGAGAACTACACAGGGTTCTAATACAATGTTAGGCCTGAGAGCTGCCAAGAAAGCAAGTCATCTTCCCGCAAAGAGGGCCACCGCAGTCTTGATGGTAAGACAAGAGTTGAGGACTGGAGATCCGTGTGCAGCAGGCAGGATGCTGAGCAGGGACCTGCCAGCTGAGTTGAGGCATCTACATGCTGCTCTCCTGGCCAAGTGTGGGCTCCCCAGCCCCAGGACCATCTCAGCTAAGATGTCAGCTCAAATCTGGCCTTTCCTCCGAGTCACCACACAGGAAACCAGGATGTGTTTCTGTGTGTGCGCACGCGCGCATGTGTGGTAGTAGTGGGTGCTTAATCCATAAGCTGACTCCCCAGTCTCACCTCAGGACTTCAACCAGGCTGGCTTTGCCTGTCGAGTGTGCATTCTAAGGCTTTTGTACCATGACTCAAGCGGGATAGAGGTGATGACCAGGGTCCCTAGGCTACTGAGTAGATACAGAATCCAAAGCAAGCAGTGTGACCAAAGGCCAAGCTCTCCTCTGTTGTCACCCAGGCTTGTTTCCTAGTAGCCCTGTCCTGGTGCCATTTACTCTAGTCCATAGTGCAAGCTGATCAAGGCCAGGAGGCTCCCCTGCATAGCCCAAGGCCACCTATTAAGCACTGCTTCCCCAAAGAGTCCTTACCTGCCGGTAGATCTTGCCCTTTTCTAGACGCGTGATGCGGTCCCAGTGCAGGGAGCCTTTCTCATCAAGCTTCCGGAAAGGTCTGGGTGAGGAGTAAAGAGCCTGGCTTGCGGTCTGTGACAGAGCTACAGCTTGGGCGCCTTCCTTCCTGGACCTATAAAGCTCCCCACTCAAGCGGCACACTATCAAGCAAGGGGGCATCTCCGTCTAAGCACAGAGAATGCTGAGTCTGGGCCAGTTGGGTTTTGTGCCCAAGTCTTCTCATTGGAGTGGGGCCTGTAACCTCCTCCCATAACCCCAAAGTCCCTGCTAAGCTCATACTTGCGCCGGTCGGTGAAAAAGTTGGGCTTGTCTGCCTGGACGATGACTACATCGAAGAGCTGTCGCCAGTCAGGACCTACCATGTGCCGCATGCCTTTGTCCCTGTGTAGAGATGGCACTGGCTATAGTCCGGGAGCAGAACGGTGTCACCCCCCCCCACCCCCGTTCCAACGCACACACACCCTTCACAGCGGGCCTGGACTCACACAAAGCTGAAGGGACTGTTGGTGATGAGGAACAGCTGCTTCCCGTGGGCCACCAGGCGGCTCAGGACTGCAAACGTCTCATCTCCTCTCAGGATGTACTTCTCTGAAATGGAAGGTGGGCCTGTGAGGGCCAGGCCTGTGACCCTCTGCTCAGGCAGGCCACGGTAAGGGCGACTCTCCACCCTTACCCATGTCTTGCTCAATCCACTGGTACATGAGGCCCTTCACGTGCACATCCCGGATGGCATCCTAAGGGGAACAAGGGGACAGTGAGGACATGCCAGGGAGGAAGGCGAACAGACTCGGGCTCACCTAAGGGACAAGGCCCGCCTCCTCACCGTCACATCCTTGTAGAGGTGTACTTGGTCAAACTCCAGGCCATGGCCCAGAAAGTAGTCCACCACACAGGACAGTAGTGCCATCTCTGGTAGGGAGAAGATGTCCATGAACTGTTTGATGGAAGGGCCCTGGGGACGGAGGTCAACTCTTAGCCGCTGTTCCAAGTACTAGAGACGGAGGGATCTGCCTTGGGGCACCGGCAGGCTGTGTGGGTACCTTGCCGTAGAAGCCGCTCATCTGGTATAGCGGGATGTGCTGGGTGCCACCGTATAGGTCAATTACTTCATCATCTGGCACGGGCTGGAGACCCCTGAGTTGGGGGTAAGTGGGGGGGACAGATACCCTCAGCCGGAGCCCAGGAAGCAGTACAGGATAGGAACAAGGGTAGATTGAGGGTAGACCTGACACTTACCTGTAGGCTGTTCCCAGCTGCACATAATGAAAAGCATCAATCTTCATCAGAAGGCTCTGGAAGCGTGCACGGGGCAGGGCCAGTGGTGAGGACGCAGGTTTTTTTGTCCTTGGACCTGAGCCAGCTTCTTCCCCCAGTACCTCCCAACCCTCCGCAACAAAACCTCTACAGACGCTACTAAGGGGGAAGCGACAGCCGAGGTAAGGGTGGCCCGATAAGGAGAGGAGGCTGAAGAAGCCGGCCCTGTGCACATCTAGTCAGGAAGGGTCAGTGTCTAGCCACCCACCTTCTGAATGTCATAGTGGAGACCGCGGATGGCAAAGCTGGGATCATAGTCATACTTCCGAATTCCCTCAGGGTACTGTTGGACAAAAAGCCAGGAGCAGGGCCAGCCCTCAGCTCAGGATACCAGGGGAACCCCAAGACTCAGCCTGGGTCCCACCGGCTTCTAGGGGTTGGCCGCCTCACCTTGTAGTGCTCTATCAGGATGTCCCGGGCAGCATTGAAAATCTCGGGGTGCAGCGCATCCGCATACTGGGCCAGCGTGTAGTCGTAGTCAAAGCCGTAGACTTCAACGTCACTCAGGCTGATCTCATTGTTAGCATAGATGGCTGCTGGGTTTAGGAGGCTACAGACCTCAGGGGGCAGAAGGTCTAGAGGGAAGGAGATCCAAGAGGACGGTGCCATTATGATGGTCATAGCTAAGGCAAATGGCCCAAGTACTTTGTGGGTACCCAGCCCCATGGGCCCCACAAGATACTGAATTATTATATCTTGGCCCAGTGAAGTAGAGGCTGACAATGGGCCAGTGTGCTCTCTTCCGGGGGTCTGGTCATAGCTACAAACCCCCCCTTTCTATGTTAATCTGTCATCTTTGGTGCCCCACAGACACCGAATTTTACCAGACACGGGTGTGTGGGAACCCTGGCAGCACTACTCAAAACCTGTCCAGGAGCCCCACTGTCCACTGGCCTGTCTTCCACTTTCTTGGGGTTACCTGTCAAGGGCAAGGTGCAGGGACTGTGGACTCCTCACACAAGATGCTGGCTGGCTCCATTTCGACCTAACTGGAGGCCAAGGCCATGAATGCTGCTTTTCCACTTTGCCCAGAGATGTGGTTGGGGCCCACGAACATTAGAGGGGTGGAGAACCCCCCCCAAGGCTGCCAACTTGGAACACCTGCCCTAGCCCCGGGGAGCAAGGTCCCTCTAATCGGATTTCAGCTGCCTGCCAGACCACATAATGACATTCCCGGGCTGGAGCCAGAGAACATTCTAATCACGACAGGCGGGATGTAAGATGTCGGGGTTTGGGACACTACCCAGCTTGCTCTCTTCTGGTGACAGTCACAAGCCTCTGAAAAGAGTCACAGAAGAAGGCTAAGCCTGGAACTATGTCAGGAAGGTTCTGGGGTCCTAGGCTCACCCGCTTTGTCTTCCCCATCTGGAAAGTGGGCATGGTATACAGAGAAAAAGGACATGATAGGACATTGGATGTGAGCCAGGCAGATCGGGCCCTCCCTCCCTCTCATGCCTGTGAATTTGAGAATGTTATCTTAGCCCCTGGGCTTGCTTCTCTTAAAAGGGGAATAAAACCAGAACCAGTCTACTTCATGCAGCGTTCCTGCCTGTACCCACACAACACGCAGGATCAAATGTAGGATGTGTGCAAGCTGGGTCTCGCTTGGTCAGTCCCGGAGTTGGAGGGGAAGGGGAAGAGAGGCAGGACTGGGGTAAAGTCCAAACCTCCAGGGAGTCTGTCATCAGCCACACTGATTCCGATCATTAGCCGAAAATCTCTGGCTCCACAGCACGTCTAGCGGCTCCTGTGAGGGGCAGACACCTCGTCTACGTGCCGAGCTGTTGCCTCAGAGGCCCCTTTGGAACACAGGGCTCCACCCCCATTTCCTTTAGTGTCAAATGTAGGGAGTTAGGTGTGGGAACAGGTGTGGCTAGTTCCTCTGGTGGCCTACAGCCAGCAGCAAGCAGCTGTTCTGAAGATCCCCAAGTGCGGACAGAGCTCTTCACTGGGGCATGCTTAAGACACAGCGGATGGCCTCCCCCTAAAGAACAGTTTCTGAGAAACCCATCACCTGGTGTCACCAGGACCGCAGGTCTCTGCTGCCCACATAACTAGTAATTTCCACAACCCTACACTCCTGGATGTCAACTTTGCTTATGGCTTGCCTTAGTGCCCAGAAAACCACTGGGGTGGGAAGCAGAGGCATGGTATCTGTGGGCCCAAGTTTGCAGAGTTCTGACTAGGTCCATGCCTTGCCTCTACTTTCCAGGGTCTTCTGGGGGATTAAACCTGCCTGGGAACAGTAGGATGGGGAAACATACGGGGCCTAAGGTTACTTATCTCATTTCTGGACCCAGGGAATCCTAGCTCTGGGTGGTTAAACAGGCCCACTTCCTTCCATAGGTTATCAGTCGTGCTGAGTAGGCCAGGAGAGGGTATGCCGTGACTCAGCGGTCGACTGGTGTGCTTATGGTATCGCTGGCTAGCCCCAACCTCCTCTCGTCAGGTTTTAGGGCTCTAGCAGTTTAAGACCACGTGCGAGTTTTACGGATCATCTCATCCCCTGCTCCAGTCTTGTGAGGTAACCACACATCTATCTCCACCGTCCAGAGACCCAAACTTGGGGAGGCAAAGGTCCCCAGTCAATCGATCCAGCACCAGACAACTAAGTTGAGAGGCAGGTTCAGACCACCCCACCTGCCTCGGCCTCCTTTTCCTTCTATCATATGAGGCCAAGTGTAGGCTAATGGTCCTCCACTGCTCCCTGAAGGGCTACTAGCCCTTGCCTTGATTGTTCTGTCCAGACTCCGTCAGAAAACCTAGCCTGGTGAGGTCTGGGTTCAGAAGCAAGAAGTTAGTTCACCCTGGCACGTTAGTGGAGGTGACCCTGCACACAAGAACTCAGGGTGGGGGGGCGGTCCATAAGGATCTGAAGACACAGGAGGACCCTGAAGGTTATGAAAGTAGACCCTCCTCGCCAACACTGCCAAGACACGCAGGCTTCTCAGCCACCCAGGGATTTTTCTAGGTGCAGAACAAAGACTTCTGTAAAGCTGCTTACCCTGCGATATTCCCAGTCCTTAAGAGCAACCATTCTTCAGAGGTCTCAACTATTCTGATTGTGGCTTGTCAAGAGATGAACTCTGGCCAACCTGCAGGTCTCCACACAGCTGGAGTGGAAACCCCTGCCCAGTCACAGCTGTAATCTCCCGACAGAGCCACTCTGTTTTACCAGACAATGCAAGCCACAGCACCTCTGGGGCTTCCTCTAGAAGCGCCCCCCCCCCCCGCCCCCAGCTTGTCCTTGTTCTTTCTGAGTCATCACCACAATCCTGGGACAGGAGCCTGAGGGTCTTGGGAGGGTGTGAGGAGGCCCGGGGGCCACCCTGGTGGGCAGCGACAGGGGCCACAGCCCAGACCACATCTATCTGCGGCAGAGACAGGGCCCCACTAGACCCCACCCAGACAAATGGACAGATGTTCCACACTCAGATCTCCTGCCTCATCAGCCCATTCCAGAGAGAGAAAAGGCTAGGGGAGGGGAAGTGCCCTGTACAGCTCTGGCTGGGACTACAGCAACATCCCGGGATTGCAGGGGGCTACAGCAACTTTTCGGATCCTCCAACGCCTTTACTCTAAACAAGCTGTTTAGAGTGCTGTAGACCGCCAGAGGCAAGCTAAGAGGTGCCTACAATGTCCGGCCGGTGTCGCCTTACGTCGGGCCGTCGGTGAGCACCACTCGCTCAGTCTTTGTCCACACACTGGTAACTAAAAGCCAGCGGAGAACAAGGGTCTGAGGTTTCCACCGCCGCTGCCCAAAGACGACCCAGGAGCAAGACCCAGGGACGCGTGCGCAGCGGCTGCTCCAGGCATTTCAAGCTCCTGCACCCAGAAAACAAAACCTCCGCGCGCCCCGGGAGTCGCGGTGCTGTGCAGAGGCACCGCGTACCAACCCGATTGAGCCTTCCCAAAACGCCATCATGTTTTGGGACCCTGGCAAGCCCCACCGGGCACTTCCAGTAAGCTGCTCCCGGGAAGGTTGGGGACGGTGCCCCGGCCGTCTGTTGGGCGCCACTCGGCTGACGCCCTCCTGCGCACTGCCCACCCGGAGTTACCCACCGTGCACCAGCCTCCGCATGTCCTGGTAACGAGCCCACAAGTGCGCGCTGAGGTCCGCGCTGTCTGCGGACGCCGAGCGCGGGGTGCTGGGGCAGTGGGCTCCGGGACCCGGCGGGCCGCAGCCAGGGCAGGAGGGTGAGGACGAGGCGGCCCGCGGTCCGCCGTGGCCTCCGCACAGCAGCCAGCGCCGAGCTGCCGCCCGCAGTCCCGCACCCGCCATGCCCCCTGAGCGCTGCCCCCGCCGGTCCGCCGCCCTCCGACTGCCCGCCCGCCACCGTGGCCGCGTGCTTCTCAAGGCGGCCGACCAATGGGCGAGGCGCTGGAGTCCATTCGGCCAATGGGCGCACCACTCGGCCTGGGGGGCGGGAGGTCCCGGTCGGGGCGGGGCGGGTTCCCGACCCCCTTCTCCTTGTCCCCAGCTCGGCCCAGGGGCTCTGCGCCCCCCTTTGATCATCTCGGTGACGGCCGCACCTTCTTCCCTTGCGCGGGAAGTCGCTGGGCTTAAGAGCCAGAGTCTCCGAGAGGCCCTGGACGGTCCGAGGAGCAGGAGCGGCCGGAGTGCACGAGAGCATAGCTCCTCCTTCATCCCACTGTCTTTCTGTCCCTCTTCTCAGCCTCGAGTTCCCCCTGACCCTGGCGCTTCCGTCCCCTCTCCATAGCTCCTGCTCCGTGGCCCTGTGCCCCTGCCCAGTTTCTAACCGACTGCACGTCGGCGTGCACGCCCGACTGGAGCTAGGGCGGCTTTATTCGCCTAACGCACCGAGAGCCCTTTCTGCCTGCAGTGATCATCCCGAACTGGGTGAAATCACTTAGCCTTCAGGGCAGCTGACATCTGCTAAGGTAGCTTTTTCTTTGTATCGCCTGGTACCCAGCACGGTGACGGATTCAGCTAGGAGCCTATCTCCTAGGCGTACCCTGAGAGGCTGTGGGCCAGGATCATTGCAGCCACCTGGTTCTGGCGGCTGCCAATGGATGTGCCGGACAGTGCAGGCCCACCATTGAAATACCGTTAGACTGTTCAATCGCTGTCTCAGTGAAATTCTTTCCCCCTTGAAAGCGCTCCATCTGTTTTCTTAGGCTGCAGGTGTACCCCAGGAGAGGCTGGTCCAGTATCCACCTGAGCACACGGAGACTGCTGGTTTAAGGAGGCGAGGTGTGTAACGTGTGTGTTTGTAATTCCGCTCTATCTAGGCTGAGGATCTGGTGTGGCAATCCTGGGCTGGGTACTGGTAGTTACGGATGTCAAAAGGAGGGCTCGTGGGGGACCGAGCCCTTGCAGGCCCCAGTGACCAAGGTGGGCTGTGGAGACCTGGCCACATGTGAATCTCTTGAAAGTGGATGGACGCTCTACATGTTCCAGTCCTTAGCACCTAGAGAAATGGGGACAAGCGCCAGGGGTTCGCCGTGTGTGTGGCTTCTCTCTGGCCTGCCCTCCAGTTTCTCCCCCACTGCACGTCGGCGTGCACGCCCGGACAGGACCATAAAGCTCCTCACAGTCTGTTTATGACCCTTTCCTGGATCCCAGTCATTTAATTCTCTTGGGTTGTCCATCCCCGCAGCACCACAGAAAGGTTCTGTTTTACAAAGTTCCCTATAGGGTATGGCTTGACAACAAAGTCACGCTTTTTACCATGATGCTTTTCTGCGACTATCAGGTTATGATGCATAAAAAAAGCACCTACAAGTTCCTGGATAACGGTCAGTTCCCATTCATCATAGATTCATATTATTTTTAGAATAGTTTGCCATGGACAATTATACTTTTTGTTGTGATACTGATAAAAGTTCAGTTTTCAAAAATGCATATCGAATTTTGTTATTTTAGAAGTCAAGTTCAACCAGCCACATCCCAGAAATAAAAGGAAGGCGTCACGTAACTGCATTTTAGTTTTATCTTCTTCACAGAGGGTCGTCACCTCCGTCAGAGTATTGCAAAAAAAGATGGCGATGGCAGAGTAGGGGGCGCGGCAAGCAGCGCCGAGCCCCAGCAGCTGAGAGCAGGTTTGAGGGTGGCCACGCCACGTCGGAGACCCCGCCCCCTGCAGTTGCTCCGCCTCCAGAGTCTAGGCGCCTGCGCAGGCTCCTTCAGACCCGCCCAGCCTCACCGAGCACGCGTGCCCCAACAGCACTCTGATTGGAGAGTCTGAGCGGCCCGCCGCGCTCTGATTGGCGGAGCCGACAGTGCTCTGGGCCTGTCAGCCTCTGCGACCCGACTCTCGCGGCCTGGCGGTGGCACCGCGGCGGGGTCTTAGCTCTCAGTCAGTGGGACACGGCCCGACGAGCAGGCCTGTGCGCCTGGTTCCGCCCGTACCCCACTTCCGACGCCTCGGTCATGTTCTTCAGGGCCCAGGTGAGGCGAGCTCTGCAGCGGGTGCCCGGGAAGCAGCGATTCGGCATCTACAGGTTCCTGCCCTTCTTTTTTGTCCTGGGAGGAGCAATGGAGTGGATCATGATTAAAGTGCGCGTGGGACAGGAGACCTTCTGTAAGTGGGGGTGCAGCAGCCTCCATTCTCCTGTGGGTATGCGATTACAGGCCGCTGACTCCATTCAGGGCAGAGCTACTTTCCCTTTAGGAAAGGACAAGTGTTCTGGCAGCTCTCGTGCGGCACGGACTGGAGGCCCTCGGGGCTCTCGTGTTCCGCTCACCTTGGCGTCCAGCCCTCTTTCTCCTCCAGCATTTTAGAGGGCACGGGCCTCCACTCATTGCTGCTGTCCCTCGTAACCTGTCCTTGGCCCTGCTGGTGGTGACATTGACCTTAAGGAACAGGGTTGCTCACGTGCGGAAGAGGGACCAATCCTGAGGACGTAGACATTCTGGTTAAGTCTTTTGAGATTTTTAGCTCAAACTCTGGAGGAGGACGCTAGCTTGCCTGACTTAGCTGATTACCACCGTTTACAGGCAACCATTAGTGTCTTTGTCCCAGAATTATGAAAAGAATGCCTGACATGTCTGTGGACTGCCTCTGGCACTGCCAGTTCCTGTCAGGACTTCTCCAAACCTCTGGGCCCTTTGTTTTGCCTCCCATCATTTGAGAATTGCCAACTCAAAATTTTAAGTTGTTATGTGAAAGCCTCTTTCTACTCTGATAAAGGGCCTGTGCTGGCCTTGAATCTTTAAACTTGCAGCCTCCTCTTGCCTCAGCCAAGTCCTGGGATAACATAGGCATGGGCCACCACTCGGTATTTAATTGCCATCCATGACAGGTTCTAGTGAACAAGGCAAAGGATCTTCCTGGGAATAAGACTTGGTGTCGCTTGGTGGTAGAGTACTTGACTCATGTTGGCCCAAGCTCAGTTTCCAACCTGTCTCCCACCATTAAGCATGCCATGAGAAGTATTAGTAGCTCAAGAATCCTGGTTGAACACCTCATTGGATCAGGCGTGGGAAGGCTCTTGGGAAAGGATAGGCATTTAGGACTGTCCGCCAGACAGCCAGATGAGGGGACCACTGACTTCATGGCAGTGGTAAAGGAAACGTGGAAGTGTTTGTGTGTGCCGTTTGAAGGACCGCAGCAGGACTGAGCGAAAGGAGCTGTGGGTAGGAGGGTCCCTGGGTAGGGCTGTAAAAGAACTGGACAATAAGGATTTATCTTAATGATTGAAAGGGCTCTTTTCAGCGAGATTGGTAGAAACACAGGCAATGTCTGCTGGCCAGATTTGAGATGATGGCCTAGTCTAAGGGACGAAGGAGTAATTCCCAAGAAGTGAGTGGAGCTGAGACAGCCTAGAGGTAATGCTGAGTCTGGTAACTGAGATGGGGCATGGAGGCTTCTCAAGGAACAGCCGAGGCAAAGGTGCAGACAATAGGCAGGGCGATCCTGGGTGCCATTTAGGACATGATGAGATGGTGTTAACTAAATAGCTCAAGCTCAGGAGGACTGATTGGGCCAGACATCTGGATTTGCAGGCCTTTCAGTTCAGATGTGACAGAAGGGTCAGACTTGAACATTTTAAAGTGACTTGGAGTGGTCGGAAGGAACACCAGGAAGATGATCCTTGAAGACGGGTGATAAGGAATTGCCAATGAAAGGGGTGACCATCTGTGTAGGAGACTGAAGGATATGCAGACGCCGATAGGAAAGTAGGGGCTGGAACTGGGGCTGTAGCTCACTTGGTACAGCACCTGTTTTGGCATGCAGGGGCTTTTGGATCCAATCTTCAAGAAAAGTGTGTGTTGGGGGAGGGAGGATGAAGGAGGGGGCTGGGACACTACACCTTCAGGAGAAGTACTAGTGCCCAGTAGGGTCAGCCTTAAAAGTCAGCCAGAGAGTTCACTACAGTGGCCTTTCAGTGAGAAGGAAGGGGAGTGTTCTTAGTCATTCAGGACTTTCAGCCATGTAAATGGAAGCAGTTGGAGGTGTCTCAAGCAGCATGCATTGAAAAGTGAGGCAGTTGGTGCAATCTCTGGTTGGGGTTCTGGAGGGCTGTCCAGGAGTCCCGGTAGGGAGGAGAGTTTGAAGAGCCAGCAGAAGGTGGTGGTGAGCTCCAAGGACAGCAGAACTCTGAGCAGACTTCTTCCATGGAACACTGACTGTGGATGTAAAGGAGGCCAAGGGCTGGCACTTCACCACCTAGAAAATGGATGGTCAAAAGGCACAGAGGAAGTTACCAGTAATGGGCAAATAACAAGCCCAGGAAGAAGAGAACCTAAAAAAGGAAGATGTTTATTTTTTACATGAGGGTAGAAAATTAGTAGTCTGAAAAGGCAGCTGCTGAGAACAAGGAACAGGACTTCCCTCCTTACTTCGGTTTTGGAACCTAGGAAAGGGAGCAGGTAAGAGCCCTGAGGCAAGGGAAGTCTGAGAACAGAAGGATGCCAGGACTTGATTCTGGGAAGCAAGTCAGTCTCTGAAGACACTGATATTTTTACTCTTTTGTAATCTCAGACTCCTCATCATAGCACTCATTCAGCTCATTTTATTTTAAATAGTTTATTTGCCATTGAGTTAAACAGTGTTAAGATTCAGACAGTCAAGACAGACTACTGGTTGACTTAGACAAAACAAAACAACCCATGGGGGCTGTTTCTAAACCTTGCTGATTTTTAGTGCAGTGCTGGAAACTGCACTCAGGGCTTTCCTTCTGCTAGCTAAGCACTCTGTCACAGAGAAAGACACCCCCCCACCCCCCACCCCCGCCAAGTCTCTTTTTAAAATTCCTGTTTCTTAAAGATTCTAAGCAAAATTTTTGTTTGATACAGATGACGTCTACCGTAGAAAAGCTTCAGAAAGACAGTATCAGAGAAGGCTGGAAGATACATCAGAGACCGATCTTCATAAGTTAATAAAGTAAATACAAATTTTCAGTGTTGATTTCAGCCATTTTATGTTTTCATAGTCTCACTCTTGCCCAGGCTGGCCTTAAACTCAACGAAATCCCTGCCTCTGCCTTCTTAGCTCTGTTAAAATTATACTTTTCAAGGGGGCTGGAGAGATGGCTCTACAGCTAAGAGCACTGACTGCTCTTCAGGAGGACCTGGGCTCAATTCCCAGCAACCACATGGAAGCTCACAACCATGTGCAACTCCAGCGCCCTCTTCTGGCATTTGTGGACACTGAACACTACGTGGTACACAGACACACATGCAGGCACAACACCCATACACATGTAAAGAAACAGGAGGCTAGGCTGGATTACATGAAACCCTGACTTGAAAAAAAATAGAACCAGAAAGACTCAATTTTTTCTAGCAACTTTTTTTTCTATTTTAAGTTTGTCTGCTAATGTTAGGATCAGTTCAGTGTAAAAAGAGTCATAACTGTTCAGATTGCATCAAAGTACTATGAATACAAAGTTAATTAACTGTTGGTCACCAATAATGATCAATATTACCAGGGAGAGAAATGTATTGCCCAGAGACACTTCATATTGATTCAGTTGCTGCGTAAGAAGTTGTGGTGTGAGTCTCAATCATGTGGCTACACTTTGTTTTAGAAGTTGAAGTGTAGTCAACTTCAATGAGTTGAGTAACAGTAAATGCCAATACAACCCTTAGCCAGCTTCTGCCTGCTACAGTTCCTTCCCTGCCCACCTCCCTATCTCTTCCCTATCAGTTTTATTAAAGAAAAACCTTTTGAAAATGGCAGGAGTTGATTTTGATATTTAATGTAAAATGTTTTCAGAGTACATTAGCTTGAAGGCTGGGAGTAAGAACTCATCTTTGTTAACCAAGGTGCAAATATTTTTTAAAATGTTTTTTAAAATTATGTATGTGTAGCTAGCTGGGCAGGATGGTAGGGCACAACCTTTAATCTCAGCACTTGGGAGGCAGAGGCAGTGGTGGATTTTGAGGCCAGCCAAGGCTACACAAAGAAACCTTGTTTTGAAAAACAAAAAATTGGTGTGTGTGTAGCTGGAAGGTGGTGACACACACCTTTAGTCCCAGCACTCAGAGACAAAGACAAGCATATCTCTGTGAGTTTGAGGCCAGTCTGGTCTACAAAACAAGTTCCAGGACAGCCAGGGCCGTTATTACAGAGAAGTCCTGCCTCAAAAAACAAAAAAGAAAAAAAAATTGTGTGTGAGGGTATGTGCACATGCATACAGGTGTGGACAAGGGGCCAGAGAGCCCTGAAAGCAGGAATCACAGGTAGTTGTGAGCCTCCCATTGTGCGCTGGGAATCAAACCTGAGTCCTCCGGAACACTTTTAATCTCTGAGCCTTCTTTCCAGCAAAGGTGTAATAAATGTTTGCTTGTTTTGAGACAGGGTTTCTCTGTGTAACAGTCCTGGCTGTCCTGGAACTCTCTATAGACCAGGTTGGTCTCAAACTCACTGAGATCCACCTGCTTCTGCCTCCCAAATGCTTAGATTAAAGGTGTGTTCTACCACCACCCAGCCAGGGTGCAAAATTTTAACTTTCTACAATATTGTTCAATTTTTCAAAATTTTAAAAATTACACCATATCCTACCATATTCGAGGATATCTTTGTGACTGAGGCAGCACCCTAATTAAGCCTAGGGCTTTGTGCGTGCTAGACAAGTTTGTGCATTGCTTTGCCTCCCCCCCCCCCAAAGGGCCTTATAAATTATCCAGAATTATTCTGAATCTGCAATCTTCCTGCTTCAGCCCCCTAAGCAGCTGGGTTAAAGGTGTGAGCCACTGGGCCAGATAGATAAAAACTTAGCATTCACTTTAAACTTCCACTGTGAAGAGAAAAAACATGGGGTTTGGAGCTTCACTTTTTTATATGAAGTGGTGGGAAAGGGCCTGCATTAGGCATACAGTAAGTAACGAGGGCTATTTTTATCTATTTTATCTATCATGCAGTTTTGCAATGGAAGACTTATCTAAGTCTCTGATGATTTTTACCTTAACCACATTAGTCTCTTTTTTTCATGTTTGAGCTTTTCACCATGAGTTTCCTCTCAAGAAAAGTTATTTTTGGACCATGGAGTTTTCCAAAGCAATTTTTCTCCTTGTAAAGGAGTAACAAAATGTTTTGCCACATTTATGAACACATAACACCCCAGATAGGGGAAAGTAATAGTCTGTTAATTTATTCAGTCAGCTGACCCAGCATATTCTCAAATTAAAAAGCACAAAGGCACTTAGCACTTGTTTATGTAGTGCTGGGTGGAATGTTAGAGATCAGGAATCCTCCAACTGCTCACAGGCATAGGTCCCTATTACAGTCTCAGGACAGAATCATAGGGCTTTGCAAAGTGGTATTAGGAAAAAACAGTAGGCCGATTTTACCATCATTTTCTACTAAAAGTATAACACATTTTAAGAACTTGTAAACATATTAAAGATGTGTCTGGACTACTTGTTTTATGGTCACACAAATAAGCTATTTCAAATGAGTTCTTCTGTTCTCTGATAGAATATACTTCCCTTACTGTCTTCATTTTTGAAACTTGTGTTTTGTTCTGTCCATACTGTCAATCCTGAGGACATGGTAAGAATTCTTTTGACTGCACACTGCATTCCACCCTGACCAGAGAGAGGTGCATTCTTCCTTGAACTGGCAGCCCTATCCTTAGCATGAAACCAGAGCTTGTGCGAGTCTTCTTCATTCTGCTTAAAACACTTGACACAGCTTTAACAGAACCACCAAACCTGGCTAATCCAAATCACTTTGCAAACTCTTGTTTTTATTTGGATTAAAAAGCTTTGATGAACAAACATATGATACATACATGGTATAGAACCAGTTACCACTTAAACTTCAGATAATGATATAGTACAGAAAACAGAATAAACCAATTTTTAATCATGTCTGGAAACGAACGTTCAAGCTGAAAGTTGTGGCATCAATCTGAGGATTTTACACAAGTATTCCTCCCCCCCATCCCAGTTCAGAAGAGGAAGGCAGGTGTAGTAAAACCAAGGTCTTTGAAATCAGTTGGCTGACACTTTAAACCTCTAGGCCCCCCAACTCAATATAAACAATATTCTTCATAGGAACTTACATTTTGAAAACAAGTATTTCTTAAGCCATATTTCTACATTTCTTAAGTCATGAGAAAGTGTATTGTTTACTTGTACTGCATTAAGTCAGGGCTTTTTCTTTTTTTGAAGATGGCTGACCTCAAATCTTATATTCTAAGTAATAACTGGTATTCTCCAGAAGCATGATTCTAAAATAAATAGTATCTTAAATGGTTTTAATTAATTAACTAATTGTTTTTTAAACTTTATCAGGGCCTGCCTCAGTTGACACCCTGTGCTGGATTTGTACTGCCTAAGGGAACCTGGGCTGGCTCTTGGTTCCTACAGCACCAGTGTACTGGGAAGGAGCCAGGAGGGAGTGCTCTGGCTTCTAGTGCCTCTGGTTGCTGACGGGAGGGTTTTTAGAGGCTCCTCAGGGAGCATCATCTAAACCTTTAAAAAGGGAAATAATATGAATGCATGAAATAAATAAATAATTTAACCAAAATTAAGTTTCTGGTTCTTTGGTGTAATTCAAGGATACCTAAAAAGAAAAGAATCTGATCATTACATAGTCCATGATGAGTCAATGGTCCAAATAACCAGGAATCAAAGACTTATTTAATTCAGTTTAGCAATAAAGTACTGGCAAAATCTGTCAATACTTTTTTAGAATTTAAAATTCTTTAAAATACTCGATGAAAATTGAGATCCAGTGGTTGACTATTGGCATTAAGTTACAAGGGTTCCTGTATTTAAAGTAGGTACCAGGGACTTCTTTCCATTATATACTCTCATGATTTATTAAGCATGGCAGTTAAACATGAGTACTGATTCGTTGCATTTAAAGGAAAAGACTGTCTTAACAATCATTCTCAGTGGAGAGTGGAAGCATCCACACAACACAAACATCCTATTAGAATAAAGCAGGTTTAAAAAAACAGACCACCATGTGAAATGCTGTCACCTGAACATTGTACACTGCCTCAAAATGTTTATTCTAGGGCCATGTTAGAAAGACAGGGCGCTGTGGCTGCTGAGTGTTACAGCACCCGCCTTTAATCTCAGCATTTGGGAGGAAGAGGCAGGCAGACCGAGTTTGGGGCTACTCTGGTCTACACAGTTCCACTCCAGCCAAAGCACATAGTGAGACCATGTCTCAAAAAAAAAAAAAAAAAAAAAAAAGAAAGAAAAGAAAGACAAGGTCACCAAGTCCAAGTGTCTGGGATCTGTAATAGTCTTTTTTTTTTTTGTGAACATTTTCTTAAAGTATAATTTCCTTTTCCTATAATCCAAAGGACAAGCTGAATTTCAAAACATTTTAGAAAGTATCATTTCTGGTTGAGAATTCCAACCCTCAAACAAACAAAACACCACAACCAGTAACAAGGAGATAAAGAATCCACAGCATCTGCATATGTAGGCAATCTACCCTTGGCACAATTATGTGCAAGGCAAAGCTGGTGTCCATTTACACTCTTTCTTAGACTAGGTATTATATTTAAAATAAACCACCTCCATGCATACTTCAGTACTTTCTTCAGTGTTTTCAAGGTAACAGATATAGTTTCAAATCATATAACATGAAGGCATAAACTGAATCATAAACAGATCAAAAGTACTCTTGAACTTACCTTCCAAAACTAAATAACTCAGATCTGAGCATGTGTTCTGCAAAAGTCACTGACAATACAGGTCTAACTCAGCACAATTACTTCTCCTTCAGTTACACTAGTTGTGGATGGGTAGAGAGCACTGACTTTAGATTTCTATGGTGAGCTTCTGTGTTAATAACAGCAAATATGTTGAGTCTGTCACATATCTACAGTCTAAACAATCCCACAAAGCACTTCACCTGTAAGAAAACTTGCAGATATTTAGGCATGTGAAACATACATATACACTCCCTAAGAT